TGAAATTTCTCATGCGATTTGTCTGTTTTTCACCTCACTAATTTATGCAACTAGGTGGTGGGTGCATCTTTCATGTAATTGTGTGGCAAGTGAGGCAGAAGTGCTCTACACTGCCAGGAGCTTCAGCTTGCATGTCGCTGTTGCCATATTTAGTGCCCAGCTCTGCACCATTTCAGATAAAGCAAACCAGCAACTACCTTTCAATCTTTATTCTTTAACAAGATGAGGACGTCGCTGGCTAAGCAGCATTTATTGTCCATCCCTAATTGACCAGAGGTCTGGAGTCAAATATAGGCCAGACCACGTAAGGATGGCAGTTTCCTTTCCTAAAGGACATTAGTGAACCAGGTGGGTTTTTCCTGACAATCGACAATGGATTCATGGTCATCACTAGATTCATAATTCCAGATATTTTTATTGAATTCAAATTCCACCTGTGCCGTGGTAGGATTCGAACCCGGGTCTCTGGATTAACAGTCCAGCGATAATACCACTTGGTCAATCTCCTGCTCATTCCTGAAATGGCTCTGATGAAAGGCAAACTAATTCCATACATCTTGGACTGGGGTCTGGAGGTGTTGGTGGATAGGGTAGTGGAAAGATGGGCAGTTCTTTTATCTGCTGATTGCCAAAAGATACCACACCAACAGGCCCAGCTAGCCTAGACAGAAATTGCAGCATCAATGAGTGCTGTGTGTTTATTGAAAAGGGATACCTAGCAGTGCTGCAAAAAGATCAATGATCCTCTGGTCTCTGAAGGGGTAAATAATAGTGTTTCTCTTTGTTACTTCACAGTCAAGAGCTTACTGTAATTCTGGCACCACATGCATGCACAGACCTCACCAATGCTGATGGACTACAACCCTCAGTATTGCAGGCACCATGGCTCCTCAAGGCCTCTGACCTGCCTCATCCTTCTAGACTACCAATCCAATCTGCCCACTGCACTTCTTAGTCTCTCACTGGAGGGGTGGGTTGCGGGGGGACACTTCATCACTACTTCTGCTCATGCATGATCATTAACTGCTTTTGCAGCCACTTCCATAAAACTCAATCCTTCTCTTTGTCTCCTTGCAGGTTAAATTCACCTTTCTGCCTGATCGCTCCTCAGCATCCTGACTGACCTATCTATAATCTTCAGACTGCTTGCAGTTAACTTGCAGCACTGGACTGGCATAGGATAAGCCTCTCGATTGACTGTGGTGGTACCCTCTAGCAGACTGTCATTTCCTTTCATGTAGCTCAGGACTTTTTCCCTTTGACTTTCACACATTACCATTTTTAAAAGCACAAGTAGTGTTTTTACCATGTAATCTGCTGTGACATGCTGCAGCTGTGATGTCGATGTAGCATGTCGCTGTCCAGTGACCTGTCCACCTCTTGTCTGACTGAGAATTTGACTGTTCAGTGCCCCAAATCCTTACAAGCTGCATGACACTCAATCTGCACTAAAAAGTAAGCTAAACAGCAGAGGCTGGTCGACTGAAACTCATGCAGGAAGAAAGCAACGTTATCCAGATAGAGGCTAGCAGCATCGAAGCAAGTGTGAAAGTCATTGAGGCAAAGAGAGTGAGCTAAGAGGCATGAAATACATGTGATCACATCAGTACTAAAGTATCCTGTGATGTTGCATTAGATATATGGCTACACTATGTGCAAAGCAATCTGACAGATGTATTAGTCATAAGGGGCGCTCAGCTTCTAAGTAGAATGTTGGAGGGCTTTAGTCGGAGCTGAGTTGGGCTGAGAACAGGTGAGATTGGAGGTTCTCCAATGCTGTGTTGTGTGGATGAAAGGTCAAGAAGGGTGGTGGCATGGACCATACACGGATATCATGCAGAAGTAGTAGTTATGTGATGGCCAGGAAAGGTATTCATCAAACTGCAGCTACCATACACTCCTCTGTTTTATCTGACATGGTTTTACACCAAGTGCTTTCTTGGAGAAGGTGTGGAGAATAGGAAGGGAGATGTAAAAAAGCAACTTGAGGTTTGAGATTCAAATGCATGGAAGTAAGCTTGTTGTCACTCGGGAAAATCATACGAGTAGTCCTCTTGTTGAAACTCTGTTCATTCTGACCTATTTACATGGATACTTTTGACAATGTTGATGCTGTTCTCCTTGGAGAAAGGTTGAGAAAAGACTTGATACCGGCATTCACTATCTTGAGGAGCCTGGCCGTAGTAGATAAGGAGAACTGTTTGCATTGTCAGAAAGAGCTGAGAACCAGATGAAATCAATTTAAAGTGATTGACAAAATGGACATTTTAAGGAAATGCCACTTGGTTAAGGTCCGGAATGCACTGCCTGAAAGTGCATGATTGCCGATTCAATTGTGGCCTTCAAAGTGAATTGGATAATTATTTGAAGAGAAGAGATGAGCAGAAGTACAGGAAAAAGGTAGAGGAGTGGACTGCCTTAGTTATTCTTTCAGGGAACTGATATATACACAATGAGCTGAATGGCTGTGCTGTATTCATTCTGTGGCTCCATAGGTAAGATTTAATGTCCCTTGTTTTACTCTCTGTGATCTGCTTGGCTATATTTGCAGAAGGATACAGAATGCAGGCTGATTATTGAGTTCAGTGAGTTTCCCATCCATCTGTCTGTACTTGGTATCTATTTCCCAACCACTTGTGGATTTCTCCTTGAGATGAGTATAAGTATGATTTGCCTGTACTGCTCGTAAACAATGCTTTTCACTGTACTCTGGCACATGTGTCAATCAATCAATCAATAGCTTATTCAGCCATTTGATTCAAAACCTGGGTAGGTGAATATCACCACAAAATGTTCTGGCCTCCACATTCCACTGCCCCCACCCCAGCCTTGCTAATTCGGGCTCTTTGAGCATGCCAGCCATTGTGCCATCCAATGCTCGTATTGGCAAAAGCACAACTTATATTTAAAAGTAACTTTATAGTATTTTTGTTGGACTGTTTATTTCTTGCAATTGAGGTCATCTCCCAATGTGAAAAATTCTCCTTATGAAATGTAAGGAACAGTTGAGAATTTTTGACAGTCATAGGAAGCAAAGGATTATGATTATTTTCAAGCCAGTGTTCATTTAGTCACTGTTGCAAAGGTAATTATCTACAAGGCAGTCTGGAGCCTCCAGAGTAAGAAATAAGGAACTGAATTCTACTTGTTATTTCAGTTTTGTATCAATGATGCACCATCTGGCAATGTAAAATGCCTTAATCCTATAGTATAATTTTAAAGGACTATCATATTTTCCATTACGTAAAATACTTTGTGTTTATTATAGCTCTTATCTGTCTTTTCAACTATGTTCCTGACAAAATCGCAGGGTACAGGCAGATTTCCATCCACATGGCGGTCCAGTCAGGCCGGATTAATTGATGATGATGCAGCTGTAAGAATTTGACCTTTCTTGTAAAGTTGTTCAATTAAATCAGTGCTTAAAGTTATTTCTTTGCTTCATTAGAAGTCTAGACAATGGAAGAAAGAGGGTTAGCGTGGTTTTGTTTTAAAATATACAGGATTTTATTAAGTGAAAAAATTATTAATTTTAAAAACTAATTTTCTCTCAAATATTTTGTTGTGTGAATGTTTTGTTCATCCATTTCAAAATCCGTAAGATCATCAAAGTTGAGTAAATATTAATGAGATCTTTTCTTTGTGCACTAATAATTGCACCTAATGTTAACGGTTTTTTTATTCTCAATGATGGTGAAGGGATTATTTCACGTGTGCGCAACATGGATATACTTTTACTTTTCAAAATTTCTCAAATCAGAATATTTTGCTGTCAAAGCAATGTTAATTAATAGTATGCACAATTTTTTTTTACCTGTAAATGGTTCAATAGTTTCAGAAAAGGAGGTGCAAAATTTAATGCAAAAACCCAAACCATGTTGCCTAAGTTTCATCACTCTTATGTTAGCTTCGTGAAAACTGTTTTACTGTCTCATTATGAAAAGTGTTGAATGGCATGAAGATACTTTATTTTTGTGGTAGATACAAACTAGCCACAGAAAGTTATACGTTACCATATCGAGCATAAACACTAGTTCTTCCTCCCACCTATCCCCTCCTCCCACCCCAAGCCGCACCTCCATCTCCTACCGACCAACCTCATCCCGCCCCCTTGACCTGTCCGTCCTCCCTGGACTGACCTATCCCCTTCCTAACTCCCTACCTACACTCACCTTTACTGGCTCCATCCCCGCCTCTTCGACCTGTTTGTTTCCTCTCCACCTATCCTCTCCTCTATCCCTCTTCTATCCGCCTCCCACTCTCTCCCTATTTATTTCAAAACCCCCTTCCCCTCCCCCTTTTCTGATGAAGGGTCTAGGCCCGAAACGTCAGCCTCTCTGCTCCTATGATGCTGCTTGGCCTGCTGTGTTCATCCAGCCCTGCACCTTGTTGTCTCGGATTCTCCAGCATCTGCAGTTCCTACTATCTCTGATTTTATTTATCTCTTCTGTGTTAATTATTGCTAACCACCCTCTGGCACTGAAAATTAATTATATGTATGTCTTATTCTTTTAGGTATTAATTCATGTTCAATTTTAAAAATGTCAAATTTTAAATGATTTTTCTGCATTCCCCTTTTTCTGTACACTACGAACAATTTTTACTTATATACCTTTTCAAAGCATTGTGTAGGATTCTGCTTTGAATACTGTTTTTGTGTGGATCATTCAAGGCCTGGCATCCGGCTCTGTGTATTTTTTCATTATTCTTTTATCACTCTTAAGTTTGACATTGAGTTATTGATTGACTGATGAGTGGAAACTTATTTTTTCCCTTTTACCATATCAAAGCAGTTTGTAATTTTAACTGTAGCTGTCAGATTTTCTTGGCCTTTTCTGCTGTAATGCCAAGTGTGTAATTTCTCTCTGTCCTAATTATGAAAGCTTTAGTTATTTATAACTTGGAAGTGATTTGATAATGGACAATTGTTTGAATCTGATATTAGTATTGCTGCAGGTAACTATTATCCTACTTCTAAAAAACTGAAAATTTCTTTGCAGTTTATTGAAGGAGAGGAGATTGCAATGGAGAGCCAGTCGACTATTGAATCGTCAAACTATGGTGATGACTTTGAGGTATTGACCATTAGGTTGTAGTGTATAGATAATGAACATACATGGTTTGGAATCTGCAAAAATAACATGTGGAACTTGACCTCATGGCCCCAGCTCAGAATTAGGGACACTGCTGCATATTTTCTAATCAACCTGTCTAGAGATAGGGACACTACCACTGCATCATAAGAACCTAATGAAAACTATCACTACACCCCAAGATATTTTCTAATCAGCCTTTTCAGCGGTTATTATACACCTCTGATGTAGGTGGGCCTTGAATATGGACCACCTGGTCCAGAGGTAGGGTCACTACCACTGCGCCACTAGCATCTTCAGTGTTAATTGGATTCAGGCGGTGGGTGTTATTCATGTAGAACAGCAGGCTGAAAGTAAGGGTTTTTGTGGCTCACTGATAGTGTCTCTTCCTCTGTGGAAGTGTCCCTACAAAGGGCCTTTATGAAATCCTTGGAAAATGGGCTGGGTTACAGGATTGTAAGACTTTATCTTGTTTCAACTCTGAAGTCACTGGTAACTACAGAAAGCTTCCAGAGACCTCTGGATACTTTTGCTTATTTTGTACAACCAGATTCTTTTCTCAGAGCTTTCAACCAGTGGATAACAGGAGAATAACTAGAAAGTGCAAAACCAACAACCCATCCCTATCCAGCAGCTTCCAGTGTAAAACTGTCCTGCCCAAAATCCAGTCAGAGATAGTTCACTCTTTGTTGTCTCTTTTTCTTCCAACATTCCTTCTTTGGGTAGCCAGCCAGCACCAGTCCTCCCTTGATTGATCAATTCAACATCCAATCAGCTACCAGTCCCTGATCATAACAACATCTTGGTTTTGCTTTGTCTGCAGTGTTCTTAAAGCAGTAATTAATCTGCATTATCTTTCCAGGTCAGTTCTCAACAGAAAACATCAGACGTTTCTCTCTTTTTAAAAACAAGCTGCTGTTCATAAGTTCAGTTTCTCATCTTCAATTCTCAGTTTCAAATCAAAAATAAGAAAAGCAGTGATGGTCCCAACACTCTGAGTACACTTCACATTCTTGCCCACCATTCCCTCCATCTCTTTCTCTCACACGCAAACACACGTTTTAAATGTTGTAATTATACCAGTCTCCACTACCTTCTCTGGCAGCTCATTCCATATACGCACCGCTCTCTGCATGAAAAAGTTGCCCCTTAGGTCCCTTTTAAAGTTTTCCCCTCTCACCTTAAATCTATGCTGTCTAGTTTTGGACTCCCCCACTCTAGGGAAAAGACCTTGTCCATATACCCTCTCCATGCCCTTCCTGGTTTTATGAACCTCTATAAGGTCACCCCTCAGCTTCTGACATTCCAGGGAAAATAGCCACTGTCTATTCAGCCTCTCTCTAACCCAGGGAACATTCTTATAAATCTTTTCTGAGCCCTTTCAGACATCACAAAGTCCTTCCTATAGCAGGGAGACCATAGAATTACATGCAGTATTCCAATAGTGGCCTAATCAATGTCCTGTATAGCCGCAACGTGATCTTCCAACTTGTAAACTCAATGCGCTAACCAGTAAAGGTAAGCATACCAAATGCCTCCTTCACTATCCTATCTACCTGTGACTCCGCTATCAAAGAACTATGAACATGCACTCCAAGGTCTCTTTGTTCAACAACATTCCCCAGGACCTTACCATTAAGTGTATATGGCCTGCCCTGATTTGCCTTTCAAAAATGCAGACCTCACATTTATCTAAATTAAACTCCATCTGCCACTCCTCAGCCTATTGGCTCATCTGATCAAGATCCCATTGCAATCTAAGGTAATCTTTTTCACTGCCCACTACATCTTCTAGTTTGGTGTCATCTGCAGACTTATTAACCATCCCTCCTATGTTCACATCCAAATCATTTATATAAATGACGAAAAGCAGTGGACCTGGCACCGATCCTTGTGGCACAGCCCTGGTCACAAGCCTCCAGTCTGAAAAGCAGCCCTCCACCAGCACCCTCTGCCTTCTACCTTCTACCTTCGAGCCAGTTCTGTACCCACATAGCTGGTTCTCCCTCTGTTCTGTGTAATCTAACCTTATTAACCAGTCTACTGTGAGGAATCTTGTCGAACGCCTTACTGAACTCCATATAGATCATTTCCACCGCTACGCCCTCATCAATCCTTTTTTTTAACTTCTTCAAAAAACTCAAGTTAGTGAGACAATTTCCTGTTCACAAAGCCATGTTGGCTATCCCTAATCAGTCCTTGCCTATCCAAATACATGTAAATTCTATCCCTTAGGATTCCCTCCAACAACTTGCCCACCATTAATGTCAAGCTCACTGGTCTATAGTTCCCTCGCTTTTCCGTACCACCTTTTTTAAATAGTGGCACCATGTTGGCTAACCTCCAGTCTTCTAGCACCTTGCCTGTAGCTATCAGTGATGCAAGTATTCAGCAAAGGGCCTAGCAATCACTTCCCTAGTTTTCCAAAGAGTTCTAGGGTACACCTGATCAGGTCCTGAGGAGTTATCCACCTTTATGCATTTTAAGATGTCCAGCACCATGTCCTCTATAATATAGATATTTTTCAAGATGACACTATTTACTTCCCCACGTTCTCTATCTTCCATATCCTTCTCCACACATAGTCATACAGCACAGAAACAGACCCTTTGGTGCAACCAGTCCATGCTCAACATAATCCCAAACTAAACTAGTCCTATCTGCCTGCTCCTGGCCCATATCTCTCCAAACATTTCCTTTTCATGCATTTCTCTAAATGTCTTTTAAATGTTGTAACTGTATCCACATCCACCACTTCCTCAGGAAGTTGATTCCAAACATGAACCAGTCTGTAAAAATAAAAAAAATTGCCCCTCAATTCTTGTTTAAATCTTTCTCCTCTCACCTTAAAAATGTGCCCCCTAATCTTGAAATCCCTCACCCTAGGGAAAAGACACTTTCCGTTCACCTTATCTCTACCCCTTATTATCTTATAAACCTATATAAGGTCACCTCTCAACCTCCTTCGCTCCAGTGAAAAAGTCCCAGCACCTCCATTCCCAGCAGCAGCCTGGCAAATCTTTTTTGAACCCTCTTCAGCTTAATAAAATCCTTCCTATAGCAGAGTGACCAGAACTGGACACAGTACTCCAGAAGAGCCCTGACCATCGTCCTGTACAAGCTCAACATAACGTCTCAACTCCTATATATTCAAAGGTCTGAGCAGTGAAGGCAAGCATGCCAAATGCCTTCTTAGCCACCTCATCTATATGTGATGCAAACTTCAAATAATTACGTACTTGAACCTCTAGATCTCTCTTTTCTACAACACTGTCTAAGGCCCTACTCTTAATTGTATAAGTCATGTCTTTGTTTGTTTTACTAAAATGTAATACCTTGCATTTATCCAAATTAAACTCCATTTGCTGTTCTTCAGCCCATTGACCCAATTGATGAAGATCTCTTTGTAATCATAGATAACCTTCTTCACTATCCAATATACCACCAATTTTGTTGTCACCCGCAAACTTAAACCATGCTTTCTATATTTGTATCTAAATCATTTATATGAAAGACAAACCTGTGGAATCACTGGGAAGGACATTAATAGACATTAATAGTTCACTTGAGAATGGGGTGGTTGACCTTAGAATTGGATATCTGCAGACTGCTACTTATAGCTGTTATGAGAAAACTGTTGAACAATCTAATTTCCAGTGTTATTCCTGTTTCTTTCTCATTGAGCAAATCATGGAGTTTAAATACAGTCATAAGCAATTAATATGGAAAATCTGATAAGTGCACCAGAAAACACAAAATTTAAAAATGTAAAAGCATTTTGTACATTTGGCTTAACTATAGACAGAAATTTTGTAGAATTTACCCATAGTGTACCATTGTATTTGAGTTTCTGGTCATGGCAGACCTATTAGTTTTAGAAGCTTACAGCAAAGCAGTATTAGAGTCAACCTCAAAACGGCTGTTTAGCAAAAAAGTCTATAAAAGGAAGAAATAAATATATCAACTGTAAAACTGTGTAATGAAATACGTTGATTTTATGTTCTTTTGTTTAAAGGACTACGAGGATGACTTTGAGGAAGAGGAATGTGAAGACGAAGAGGTACAGCATGAAAGAGAGGAAATTCCAGCATATCAGCGAGCTGAAATTGAAGCAATTCAAAAGGCCATAACAGCAGAAAATGAACAGGTCAGAGAAAAACGCACTAAAAGTCTCAGAAATACATGTGAGGAAGAACTAAATCGAGGTGAGATTAATTTTTATTTGAATTTCTATGGTTTTAAAATAATTATTGGACTACCAAAATTGCTTTTTTTTAAAATTGCCAAACCATTGGCTTGTGTGCATTCCTGCTTCATTTTCAATACAACATACTGTGGTGTTTGTGAAATTTGAGATGAATGCTTTTGACAGATTTTTTTTCCGCCAGCATTAATACCCCTCACTTGAATAAGTATAAATTTACTGAAATATCTTTTCTCTTGTTTATTCTCCTTGTGATTGCTGGCATATTAAAAATCCTTCACTGTTTTACACTGATGTTATTTGCCCTTCAACTGAAGACATATTTCACCCAGCTTTGAACAACTCTAAACTCTTGTAGCTGGTATAGTGCCTGACTTCAGTACTTTATCTGAATTTATTTTGTGTGATATTGTAGTGCACAATCACTCAAGCTACAGCTGATCTTATGAAGGACCAGTTTAGTCAACGTTTACGTAGCATGACTAAGATGAGTTGTGACTCGTAGCTGCTGCCTGAGTGAAGTAATGAAGACAGTTGCTAGGTTAGAATACTCACGTAATTTAGAAGTCCTGAAAATAATTTGCTATGGGTAGAATATACTTTCTACCTTTACAGTCAGCACATCATCCCAGTTGTATGTGAACACTGGTATTTTAGATTTTGGAAGGAATATGTCAACCAGCCCTCTGTGTAGGACTTGCACTAATTGTAAAACCATAATAGTTTCATTGCACAGTAGGTGATGGAACAAAGGACCTGCACCTTCAATTTATGCCAAACAGTGATGCAATTTGAGCTTTTGTTTAGTTATGACCTTGACAAATGTGCAGACATGAAGCACGTGCCTATCATATTTAAGTTTTGCCAATGGAGCTCAGAATACAAATGCTCCAGTTCTGAAATAGCGTACAATATGCCACAGTAAATCTTGACCATGATAGACAGTCAGCTAGGTATGTTGAATTATCATGAAAATACTGTTAAAATATGAAATAATATATTTGTTTAATCAAGTAGATGTGAATGAATCTAATTAAATTTGGATTTACTTATGTTTTACTAAATGTTATGTACTCCTTTCAGTAAGCTGTTCGTTTTATTTGTGTGTCATTTGTTGCCTAATTTAGATTTTGAAAACTCTCCGACCATAGGACCTGTCCGAGGAACGTTCATAGATTTTGGGGCAGCCAAGCAGCGTGAAATCAGTTCAAACATGGCTAGTAAACAAAAGTAGGTAATTGAAGCTATGCGCTTATAGGTTATGTGCAAAAGATTACATCCCAGCAAAAATCCACAAATGTTTGTGGTGAAATTAGAATCTATATTAACAATATCCCATTGTAATGCCCCACCTCCCTTTCCCCACCCATGTCATAGGGACCATAATATGATTGAATTTTAATCCAGTAGGAGGGAGTGGAATTAAGTCTGGGAACATTTTCAAAAAATTAAATGAGGGGATTTTTGAGAGCATGAAAGCAGAACTGGCTGTAGTGAAATGACAAAACAGTTTAAAGGATATGCAAATAGAGATGCAGTGGTAGGGGTGCACCCACTATCTGTGGTTAACTAAAAATGTTAAGGATAGTATCAAACTACGAGATAAAGCCCATAATTGTACAAAGACAGGTGACAGGTTGAACAGATTGGATGGAATATAAAGAAAATCGAAGAATGACCAAAAAAGTAATAAACAGTGAAAAGTTAAAGAGTATGAAACAAAGATAATCATAAATGAAAAAAATGCAAGTAGAAAGAGTTTCTGTAAATAGTTAAAGAGAACAGTTGACAAAGTGAGTGTTGGTCCTATAAAATGTGAGACAGGAAAATGAAAAATGGAAAGCAAAGAAATGGCAGATGACTTGAAAAGGTATTTTGCATCAATCTTCACTATGCTGGATATAAATAACATCTCAGAAGCAGTAATAAATCGGGAATTGAAAGGGAGGACATGGATTCTGAAATATCTCAATTACCAAAGAAGTGCTACTTAGTAAATTGATGAAGTCTGCTAAGTGCCAGGTCCTGATTGGCTTCATTTTAGGGTCTTAGATGAAGTAGGTAGTGGTATAATTTATGAATTGATTTTTAAAATTTTCTTAAACTCCCTTGATTTGGAGACATCCTTTTACATTAGAAAATAATGAATGTAACTCCTTTATTCAAAAAGGAAGAGAGACAGACTACAGGCCAATTGGCTTAATATCAGTCACAGGAAAAAATGTTAGAAGCTGTTTTTAAGAAGTTAGAGCAGGGCACTTAGATAAGTTCAAGATCATTTGTCAGAGTCAACATAATTATATGTAAGGGAAGTATTGCTTGACCAATCTATTGAAGTTCTTTGGGGAGGTAACATGCTCTGGTAAAAAAGGAGAACTGATGGGTGTTCTGTAATTAGATTTCCAGAAGGTGGATATGGTGCTACAGCAAAGGTTATTGCAAAAAAAAAGCTCATGATGTATCAGAGATAGTAGGAACTGCAGATGCTGGAGAATCCGAGACAACAAGGTGCAGGGCTGGATGAACACAGCAGGCCAAGCAGCATCATAGGAGCAGAGAGGCTGACGTTTCGGGCCTAGACCCTTCATCATATGTATCAGGTAGTTTATTGGAATAGATTGAAGATTGACTGGCTGACAAGCATAATTGAGTCTTTCTCAGGTTGATAAGATGCAGTGAGTGGCACAAGCATCTGTGTTGGGTCCTCAACTCTACAATTTATGTAAATAACTTACGCAAGGGTGCATATGGTTTTTTGCATAATTTTCTGATGATAAAAATACAGATTAGAAAGTAAGTTGTGTAGAAGATATAAGAAGCCTACCAAAATTCATAGATAGGATAAATGAGTGGGCAAAAATGTGGCAACTGTCATACAATGTGAGAAAATGTTAAATTGACCATTTCGGCAGGAAGAGTGAAAACAAAGCATATTTTATAAATGGTGAGAAATTTTAGAGCTCTGAGATGCAGAGGGATCTGGATGATCTTGTGTATGAACTACTGAACAGTTAATTTGCAGGTACAGATTAAGAAAGGCAAGTAATTAGGAAAGCTAATTATGTTAACATTTATCATAAGGAGAATTGAATGCATAAGTAAGGAGTTATGTTTCATTCATACAGAGGACTAGTGAGACAACACCTAGATTACTATGCAGAGTTTTGGTCTTGTTATTTAAGGAAGGATCTAAGCACATTGGAACCATTTCAGACTGATACCTCAAATGGGGTTTGTCTTTTGAGGAAAGGTTGGACAGGCTAGACTTGTATCTGCTGGAGTTTAGAACACTAGAATGTGATTTGATTGAAACATACTTAAGGTAGAATCTGGAATTAGCGCTCACTGTTTAAAAATTAGGGTTGCCCTTCTTAAAATAGGTTAGGTGAATTTTTTTTCTCGCAGAGAATACAGAGTCTTTTACGTTATCTTCCTGAAAAAGTGATGGAAGTAGAGTCCTTGAATTTTTTTTTTAAGGTAGTGGTAGATAGATTCTTGTTATGCATGGGATTGGAAGGTTGTCAGGGTAGGCAGGAATGTGAATTTGACGTTGCAATCAAATCAGCCATGATTTTATTGAATAGTGAAGCAGGCTTAAGGAATTGAATCATCTATTCCTGCTCCGAATTCATATGTTCACATTATATTATGTGTAAAAGTTTATTCACTTTTCTAGTGAAAGGTAGTAGTATAGGTATAGATTTTTGTCCTTCTGAAGTTGCATTAAGTTTGGATAAACAATGGTGAAGGATGGATGTTTTCAGGTCTCTGAGTATATTAGCACTTCCAATATTTGAAAGTGGTGTAACATTAAAAAAACTGTTGAAACGTTTGGAGTTCCATGTACTACAAGAAAAATTGTAATATAAATGTAATGTTTGCAATTAATGTAAATCATAGCTGCAAATTTTTCATTTTCTCCTTATTTGAGTGACAAATCTGAAGAATAACACAAGACTGTCACAAAGAAAATAACTGATTTGCATAATTCATTGTACATTTTTAAAATCAGTTTCCAAAGTTTTCCATCTCCACAGGCTGAGTTGGCCTTGATGAAACATGATTTTCAAACTCAATCAGATAACCGTGAGCATTTTGCCTTTGAAAAGTGAATTGTAAAATAGCAGGTTTCTGTTTTCACTTTCTGGAACTATCTAGTTTTAAGGCTGACAAAAGAGGAATTTGCATTAAATCTAAATTCAAAAGTAGAAATAATTTTTCAGTCCATCATAATAGCTTTAGAAATGAGAAGTTCACATTGAAAAATTTGGCGACCATTTAGCTCATTTATTTCAACAAGAAAGAAAACCAGTGCTGAATAATGATCACTTTCATGAGCTCATTACACTGAACTATCTAGGAATAAGTGTGTCTTCTTCACATTAGCGTATTTGTTAAAAGTCCTAATTTTGTCTTCTCTGCAGAAAGCGCAGTGCGGAACTGCTCCGACTGATTGATTTGGATTTCTCTGTCAGCTTTTCGATGCTTGATTTACCCCCATTGAATGAGTACGATGTCTACATCAAGAACTTTGGACGCACAAACACCAAACAGGTATGTTAGGAATATTTCACATTTTCTATCCGTTTATGTATGGTGTTTAGAATACATTTAAGTAAATTGGTCTTACTTTTATAGTTCTACATATTGCTGAATTGAACAGTTATTCAAGCATGAAGTGACAAATTTAAGCTATTCGTAATGGCCTTTTAATTTTACTGTTCATTTTGTGAAATATAAAGTTAAACATGCATTTTAACAAATAAGTATTTTTGTCACTGTTTAATCCTTGTGGATTTTATCCTGTATGATTCTGGATTTCTTTGTTGTCATATTGTGTACAATATACATTGGTGGATGCTTATGTGGGAGAAAAGAGTTAGTGAGTTTGCAGGGCAAGGTGATTTAAAAGAAAGTGGGCTTTCCTTGTAAATAGAGGAATAAATATGAAAATAGAGACCATGTTGTTCATCAAGTAAACCCACAGTGGATTTGTTAACAGGAAGCCATATTGAGCTACTTTGCAGTGTTTTGGTAAAGGTATCATAGAGTGTTGGTGAATTAATAATATTGGTGTAATGTATAAATTTTCAAAGTTGTAGATCTCATCTGGTCTTGGTACAAAGTACGCGATAGACCTTTGAGGGTGACGATAAGTAAAGGCAAGATTCAAAATCTTTGATGAAAGATCTGGAGGGAAGTTTTCAGCATTTGGAATGTTCCACCTGAAAAGTTGATTCATGAATACTTTTAAAAGGGTGTTGGATAAGTATTTGCGGATCAGCAACATGCAGGACAAAAGGCAAGAATATGGGACTAACTTGACAGCTTTTTCCAAAAGCTGGCATGGGCATGACACTCCAAGAGACCTCCCCCTGTTCTCTAAGTTTCCCTAATTCTATAACTGCTATTGCATTTGAACTTGAGCAAATAAACAAATGAGCTTTTGAAATATGATATTAAAAGTATGCTGAATTGTTGGAGATGCTGTTGTTGGGTTAAAAGGTAGGTCTGTGACTATTGGTGGAAGTGCAGGTGGTTCTTTTGTGTCCTAGTCAACATTCCTTTCTCAACAAAGATCAATGGAAGAACCGAGATCAACAGACCTTTATCTTATTGCTGACCGTTGAATGTTGCTCCTGCAGAATGACTGTCATCCAGATAGCATTTTGTTTTTATACTACTTCAGATTGATTCACAAGTTAACTTAGTTCCAGGTGAATGTTGAAACTAGGGCTGTTGAAGTAGGGCTGCCACCTTTTATGCTTGTTTGTGATATACATGCTCTTGATGAATGAACTAACTTAATTGTATTCTTTAAATAAAATATGAAATAGAATTTTTAGATTAAAGATCCACGAATTCGCATTTGCAAAACCAACTTAGTATCACTGAAATTAAATTTTAAAAAGAGCAATGTGAAATGTTGCTGGTACTGCATGATTCCTGTCATTGTCCACATAGCAGTCACTTTAAATGTCCTGTAGTTAGATAAGCTGAATTGTTAATGTCTTTCTCATTCAACAAAAGGAGAAAATAGAAGAGGAAATAAATGGTGGCCCCTTTGCATTTGTATGTACTTTATCTTCACTGTGCATATAGATAATTGCTTAGTGATTCTAATCTAGTTTGAGACCTGATACTTATGCTCATAAGTAGGCATTTACTTAGCACATACCGCCAGAAACTTGGAATTAACCTACAGTTTGAGTGCGATCTTGACACCAAGATTGCCTAATGAACCCAATAACATGTTTTTGAGCAGTAATTTCTTTGTAATTCAATGTGTATTCAATGATGCCCTGATTTTTGGAGGAAACGTGTACTTGGTTGGTCAGCATTAATGTGACAGAATTATTTGAACACTTCAAACCTACAGGATACTGAGGTAATGGCTTAAACTTTGAAAGACATGTGTAAACATGTAAAGAAATATTTCAGTGTTCTAGCATGAATACATTAAATTGTTTTTGCAGAAAATGGAAGGAACAGAATTTTATATTCTGCTAGCTGTAATTTTCAGTTTATTCTGGCTCGCTAAAATCCCCATTCATACTACTTTAGTATAGACATTATTTTTGATTTATTTTAATAGGGTTAATGTTCAACATAATTTCAATAGTCGTTTAGGATGTATGCTCCACTCTGTTGAACTAATTTTTCTCCTTAAATGAACTATTTATACAGAGAATGTGTCAACTCTTCGAGACACATTGTTATTCAATGGTTATGCTAGCTGAAGTTTGACTCTCTCACAAAGCATGTTGCTTCAAGTGTTTAATTTTTGTTTTGGTTTTATTGTTTTTAGGCTTTTGTTCAGTGCAATGAAGACAATGTGGACCGAGACATTCAAACGGATGAAATTGAAACTGTTGAAAAGTGGACACAACATCCTGGAGAGGGCAATCTGCTATGTGGAGGTAAACACCTTTTGTGAACTTTCAGGAAACAAAAATCTTACTTCACAGAGTAACTTGAATTTACCCATTTGATTATGTAAGAACACAAGCTGCTTGGTAATGGTTAGCTAAATTGGTGGTACTTGACTTCGTCTTGAAATCTTTTACAATTTTCTCCCTTGCTTTCTTTACAAATGTTCACTTTAAGGAGATTGATGAATATAAAAGAATAGAATGCATGTAACTTTTTCATAAAAGTTTATTACTTGCAATTTAGCCTGTTTGGAGGGACAAGGGCAGTGTACATATGGAAACACCCATATCTGTACATTTTCCCTCCAAGGCATACACCATCTTGAACTTGGATATACATATCATCGTTTCTTCATCATTGTTGGGCCGAAACCCTGGAATACTCCATCTAATAGCATTGGAAATGTACCTACACCCCTATACCACACAGATTGGCATAGTTCATGAGGGTGGCTCACCACTGCCTTCACGAAGGCAGTTCGGGATGGTGAGGTCCACGTCCCTAACACATACAAAGTTGTTGATGAAATCTGCAGCTTGATGCCCATCATTGTAAATGGCTCTCACTTTAAGACCACCTGGCCCTTATCCCCAATCTCTGCCTCTTTTCAAAGATTTGTGGTGCCTTCTGCAAAGGTGAGGCCAGAAGTATTAGAAATTGCTTGTGCGGAGATAAAGGATGGACTACATTTGTGGAAAGTGACTCATAGCTGGTACAGACACAACAGACTGAATGGCCTCCTGTACCATAACAATTCTGTGATTCTGATTATCTAATTGTGAGGCATGGATATGAATGGACAATAGGATGAGGGTGGGTGTGAATGTTGGCTGTTCAGATAGAAAAGAGAGGTACCTGAAGAAAGAGGAATGAGTGCAGCTGCAAGGTTTGTTTTGAGGAGTGCTCTCTGGTTTTGAGAAATCACATTTAAGATGCTGACGTTCTTAACCTGTGCCACATCCGTCTGCGTGGCTGGAGAGGGGGCTGTCTTCCTTCTGTGCTCAGGAGAAAATCACTTCACTTCAGTCACTCAGATCCTGCAGTAGGATCTCTAGCTAAGAGTGAGAAATGTGGGATGTGATTTTTTTCTTTGAAATCCCACCTTCACATTGAGAACACACTTTATCGTGTCGTGTGACACTGTTACTGTGCTAAATGGAACAGCCTTTGAACACATTAGCAACCCAAGACTGGGCATCCGTGAGGCATTGTGGGCTATCAACCAGCAGCAGAATTGCATTCCCAACACAATCTACAACCTCATGGCATGGCATATCCTCCACTCATCCACTATCATCAAGCCAGGGGATCAACCCTGGTTCAATGGAGACTGCAGGAGGGCATGCCAGGAGCAGCATCAGGCATACCTGACAAAGAGGTGTCAACCTAGGACAGCTACCAAACAGGGCAACATGAATGCCAAACAGCATAAGTAGAAAGTGATAGACAGAGCTAAGCAGTTCCACAACCAATGGATTAGATCTAAGCTCTGCAGTCCTGTCACATCCTCTGGAGGAGGTGGAGGTCTGAAAATATCCCCTTCCTCAATTAAGGAAGGACTCAAAACATTAGTGCAAAAGATAAATCTGAAGCACTCTCTGCAATCAAAGCAATTAAATTCACTCCACATGATATCAAGAAATGGTTGGAGACACTGGATAATGCAAAGGCTATGGCCCCTGACAGCATTCCAGAGTAATACTGAAGACTTGTGTGCCAGACCTTACCAAGCTCTTCCAGTACAGTTGCAAAATTGACATCTAACAGACAATGTGGAAAATTGCCCAGGTATGTCCTGTACACAAAAAGTAGGCTGAATCATACTTGGCCAATTGCTGTCCTCTCTGTCTACTCGCAGTCATCAGTAAAGTGATGGAATGTGTCATCATCAGTGCTATCAAGCAGCATCTGCTCAGCAATAATCTGCACAGTGACGCCCAATTTGGGTTCTTCCAGGGCCACTCAGCTCCTGACCTCATTACAGCCTTGGTACTATCATGGACAAAAGAGCTGAATTCCAGAGATGAGGTGAGAGTGACAGTGTTGACATTAGAGCTGAACTCGATCAAGTGTAGCACCAAGGAGCCCTGGCAAAATGGGAATCAATGGGTATCAGAGGCAAACTCTTTGCTGGTTGGAGTCCTGCTACCGTTGGAAAATCACTTAGATTGCTGGAGATCATTTATCTCAGCTCCAGGACATATCTGCAGGACTTTGTCATTGGAGTGTCCCTGATCCAGGACAGGTTGTTGGTTATCGTAACTCCTAGGAACTTGACGCTTTCAACCGTCTCAACCTCCTCTCTGTTAATATAGATGTGGGCATGTTCTCCTCTTTTCTTTCTGAAATCAATGATCGGTTCTTTTGTTTTGCCGACATTGAGAGAAAAATTGTTATCACTGTACCATGACACTAAGCCCTCTATCTCATTTCTGTATTCTGACTCATTGTTGTTTGATATCTGTCTTACCACAGTGGGTGTCGTCAGCAAACTTGTAGATGGCCTTTGTTTGGAATTCGGCTACACAGTCGAGGGGTGCACAGGGAGTACAGTAGGGGGCAGAGAACGCATCCTTAGTGGGACTCCAGTGTTGAGGATTATCATGGAGGAAGTGCAGTCATCTATCTTCACTGATTGCAGTCTATGGTCTATGGAAGCTGAGGATCCAGTTGCAGAGGGTGGAGCTGAAGCCTAGGTCTCAGAGTTTTGAGATCAGTCTGGAGGGGATTATGGTGTTGAAGGTGGAGCTGTACTCTGAGCAGGAGTCTGACATAGGTGTTGTTGTTCAGATGTTTCAGGGACGAGTGCAAGGCTAGGGAAATGGTGTCTGCTGTGGACCTTTTATGTTGGTAGGCAAATTGTAGGGGATCGAGGCAGGCTGGGAGGCTTGAGTTGATGTGGGCAATGACCAGCCTTTTGAAGGACTTCATGATTATGGAGGTCAGGGCCACTGGGCAGTCATCATTAAGGCACGTTGCAAGTGCTTTCTTAGGTACTGAGATGATGATTGTCTTCTTGAAGCAAGTAGGGACTTCGGCTAGTAGGAGGGAAAGGTTGAAGATGTCACTGAATACCTCTACCAGCTGATCCACACAGGATCTAAGTGCACGGCCAGGGATTGTGTCCGGGCCTGTCGCTTTCCTTGGGTTGACTCTCAGGAAGACTGATCTGACGTCAGCAGTAGTGACGGAGGGAACAGGTGGATCCAGGGATGTGCTGACAAGTGATAAATAACATTTACGCCACATAAATGCCAGGCAATGACCATCTCCAATAAGAGACATTTTAACCATTGCCTCTTGGCATTCAATGGTATTACCATCACTGAATCCTATGCTAGAAACATCCTAGGGTTACTATTGACCAGAAGTGAACTGGACTCGCCGTATAAATACAGTGGCTACAAGAGCAGGTCAGAGGCTAGGAATACTGCAGTGAGTAACTCACTTCCTGGCTCCCCAAAGCCTATCTATCATCTACAAGGCACAAGTCAAGAGTGTGATTAAAATCCTCCCCCCTTGCCTGGATGAGAACAGCTCCCATGATTCTCTCTGAAGCCTTGATGCCATCCAGGACAAAGCAGCCCACTTGATTGGCAGTACATCCACAAGCATCCACTCCGTTCACCACCCAAGCTCAGGAGAAGCAGTATGTACTATCTACTAGATGCCCTGCAGAACGTTACCAAAGATCCTCAGTCAACACCTTCCAAAGCCACGACTACTTCCATTTAGAAGGGCAAAGGCAGCAGATACATGGGAACACCATGACCTGCAACTACCCCTGCAATGCTCTCAACTTTCTGAAGGAAGTCCGCATTCCTTACAGGAGATTCTGACCAGGGCTTCTTCTGAAATATGAAGCAATTCGATTTTGACAGGTCCCTTGCAGTGCAGGATAGCTGGAGGAAGATGAACCACGTCCCCTTTTCATGTCAGTTCATTGCTGTTTACTGTGATGTAGACGTCTAGCATCACAGACAGGTACATGAGCCCCTGTGAACCACTAAGTACATACAGCTAGTGTGAGGGTAGAGTTCCAGGGACTGCTGGTGGGAAAGACGCCAGGTAAGTGATAAAGTATTCAGATTAGTGGAAGATGTCTGGCCAGTAGTGGATGGGACTCGTGGATCTGACAGCTGGGATGTGGAGAGTTTTGGTTTGAATAAGAGGCTGGAGGTAGAGGAGTGTGTCAGGTCCTGGAGTGAAGTGAGATGTTGGGTCTTAGGTTGGGGTTTGGGGTGTGGATTTGGGTGGGTGTTAAGGGCTGTAGAGGTCTGGGGGATGGGTCATTAGAGTTCCATTGTAAGTTGGGGGTGGAGGGTCAGTTTCATAGCCACCCAGAAGTTGCTCTGGTCTACCTTCCATGAGTAACCATTTACCTAATTTCAGTGGAACCCTCTGTATTCTCTGCTTTTAAATGGACATCTTTTGAGGGTTTCAGGCCTAGGGGGATTGGAGTCTGCTACATCGTGGATTCTGCAGGGTCCTGATGTGCACCTCTCATCTACATTGACTCTGTGGCCATTGAAATTCTGGGTCTTTATTTTGTTTCATCCCATCAAAGGTCCAAAGACATGTCCATGGTGGATATTGAGTGAGTTGACATGAACAGTATGAAAGAAAAGGATTATGGGTGTGGATCGTGGGTTGACATGAAGCTATGACAGAATGTGGTTGTTGGATAGAGGGACATAGGTTAGGACTGAGGGTATTTGGGCCATGGGGATAGATGGAGGGACACAAGTTAGCATGGAGTACATGATTTTGATTTGATTGTGTCATGTACCAAAATATAGTGAAATGTTTTGTTTGTGAGCAGTACAGGCAGATCACAGTAAGTAAAGGATGTACAGATCAAAAAGACTTCAAGGCATACAAGTTAGATTATATGAAGCTAGAGTCCATTCAACAGTCTGATAACGGCTGGAAAGAAGCTGTTCCTGAACCTGCTGGTGTGTGTGTTCAGGCCTCTGTACCTTCTACCTAACGGAAGAGGTTGTAGGAGGTCATTACCAGGGTTTGATGGATCTTTGATTATGTTGGCCCCCCTTTCCATGGCAGCGAGCCGTGTAAATAGAATCCATGGATGGAAGGCTGGCTTCCATGATGGTCTGGGCTGTGTACACAATCTTCTGCAGTTTCTTATGGCTGTGGGCAGAGCAGTTGCCGTACCAGTCCGTTACACACCTGGACAGTATGCTTTCAATGGTGCATCTGTAGAAGATGGTGAGGGACCTTATGGACATGCCAAATTTCCTGAGCCACCTGAGGAAGAAGAGGCGTTGTTGTGCCTTCTTGACTGTTGTATTTACGTGGGAAGTCCAGAACAGGCGGTCGGTTATCGTCACTCCGAGGAACTTGATGCTGTTCACTCTCTCAACCTCAGTTACAATGATGTAGATGTGGGCGGGCTCTCCTCCTTTCTTTCTGAAGTTGATGATCAGTTCTTTAGTTTTGCTGACATTGAGAGACACATGGTTTTCATTGCACCACGTCGCCAAGCCCACCTATATAAGAGACTGTGAGCATGGTTGTCAAAGTCATGGGGGGTGGGTGAACAACATTAGTTGGCATGGTTGGGCATGTGGAATATATGAGGCAGTGACAGATGCGAAGGGTAAGGACTGGAGTGTTTTTATTATTTTTGTTTTGTTTTCTTTGCAGTTGGAATCAAATCTCATAGCGCAGGCTAGCCTTTCGCATACTTTGCAGCCTCTGAATTCTTTTCATGGCATCTATAAAACCTGGCCCCATCTGGAATGAAAATTCCAACTTCTGTAGCACTTTCTCCTGAGTCATGTAATGTTCCAATTCTCCAATACCAAGTTGGGAGCCAAGACTCAGGCTTGAGGACAAAATGATAGACTGACATGTCTGCATTTTTTAAGAAACCGCATTTTATTGGCAAGTGACATTTTGTGGGGGAGACTTTAAACTTACTGTTGTCTGGTGCATGAAAAAAGCTTTCATCATACAATTTCGAAGGAAAGAGAAGCACCCTGGCCAAGATCTATCCCTCAACTAACGTCATTTGAAATAGACACTCAGACATTGCTGTTTGTAAGGACTTTGTACATACAAGTCTTCTACTGCACTTCCCAAGTGACTGCAGTTTGAAGTACTTAATTGCCTGTAAAATGCTTTGGGCTGTCTCAAGCTCGTAAAATGTACTAAATGCAATTTCTTTCCTTCCTATTTTGTTAACATCATTCAATAAGGGAAAAAAAGTACATCTATTTATTTTTAATTATGTATTTTTACACTTGCTTCTATCGGACTTCTAATAGCTGGAAGGCATATTCATTTTCTTTCTTCAATCATTTGTTTCAATCTTTTTTGATTGTATTAATTTATATTAGCAAACATAAGGATTGAAATTGTATGAATGTTAAGCTAATCGTTATTCCTTCCTTGAGCAGGTGCTAATATTAATGATGCCTTGTCCTTGGATTCAATGGCCAAAAGTATTGACTCTCGCAGACTGACCAACTTCCTGAAATCTGCTTGTCAGGTGCTGTAATTCACATGAGTAACACTGTGATGTAACGTGTTATTTTACAATATTTCTGGCAATATTCTCACGTCTAATTTAATTCTATCCGAACATTTAAGTTAAAATGCCTGATATTGGTAGTTTTAATTTAACAGATGTTGATCAGAGAATGACTGTTCAATATAGCAATATCATTCTTATTAGCCTTAAAGTAATACATTCTAATAATACCCTATGAAACACTTTAATGCTGACTGCATATACATGCTTTTGATATCAGAAAGTGCATGCTAGATTGAGCTGTTACTGTATGGATTGTTGATTTTTGTGTGTTATCTTCCTGGTTTGCTAACAGTATCACTGTAATACCGTGACAGGTAATCTCTGTGTTGCTTGAAGAAGATCAAGCAGATAACCAAGCCAGTCAGAATGTACAGTCAAAAGCAACCAGTTTGTCTGTCAGTGATGGGTGCGCTCAATTGAATGTCAACTTGCCATTTTTACATGGTAATAAATAGTCTGAGCATGTTTGAGGGAAGAATGTAAACATTATTTAGACTGAATATTTATTTTCTCTTTTCTAAATATATTATTTGTTTAATTAACTTGTAAAGAAAGTAATTTTTAATTTGTGACCATGCTTTCTGTTGCTGAAGACCCAAGCTTTAGCATTCCCTCCCTATACCTTTTGGCCTCTTGATCTACCTTTCCTCCTTTTAAGCCACTCCTTAACAAACATCTCTGATCAAAATTTTGGTCATCTTACCTAATATCTCCTATGTGGCTGTGTATCTTTTCTTTAAATAAAGTGCCTATGAAGCACCTTGGGATGTTTCATTACTTTAAAGGTTCTATATAGTTTTGTTGTGATTCAGGCTTGCAGGAGAAAGTTTTCGCTTTGAAATGTATTTATTTCTTTACTTGAAACTAGTCGCATTGCCTCTAATTGACATTTCTACGTGACTGATAGCATTCTCATTTCAGTCATCTGTTAAACATTTTTTGCATCATCTTGATCAATTTGTCCAGCAACATTATCTTCCCATATAATACAGCTTGTCGAGCTTTGTCAAACTTTGCACTGATTAGCTAAGGGTTTGCAAACTCAAACTGTACCACTTGGTGGAGCTATGCTATGAATTTTTTTAATGAAAATGTTGTACTTGTATTGCCTTAGTTAAGTTGATAAATACAATACTATGTAATTTATTTACTCAGAATTCTACAAATAATCACCAAAAGCTAATTTTATGTTTGTAAATGTGTTTTTTTGGGTTTTCTTTTGTAGGTCGTGAGGTATTATGTCTACACTTTTCACAGGTCCAGAGACAAACTCTGCTTTCAGTCCACAGTCTTCCTAAAGAGCCTGGGGTTGTCCAACTAGCCAGCAATTACATGATTTGTGTTTGGAATATCTGGGAACCTTCAGCACCTCAGAAAATCCTTGTCTGCGAATCTGAGGTCTATGGAAAGTTTTAAAAATGTCTTGTCTATTTAGAAGGCACAATAGATGCAATTAACGATAATTCATAGAATCCCTACAGTGCAGATAAAGGCCATTCATCCCATCGGGTCTGCACCAGTCCTCAGAGGAGTATCCCACTCTACCCCCATAACTGCGCATTTACCATAGTTAACTCACCTAGCCTGCCTATCCCTGTACGCTATGGGGCAATTTAGCAGACCCAATCTACCTAGTCGGCACTTCTTTGGACTATGGGAAGAAACCCAGCACACCCAGAGGGAACTCATGTAGACACAGGGAGGACGTGCAAACTCCACATAGGCAGAATCGAACCCAGGTCTGTGGCTCTATAAGGCAGCAGAGCTAACCACTGTGCCACCATGCATTTGGTAGATCTTGATGGAAAAATTTATCCTCTTGATGTCAGTTATACTTAGAAAGCAGTAAGAGTAATGGAGGTGTGGTGTTCTAGTGTCTGTGGCTGTGTAAATCATAATAGGTATAAAGCTGAGTCCAGTGATGGAATCTTAAAATATTTTACCTTTTAAGGACATCGACTGTTCATGAAAACAAAATAGATCTCTATAAAGGCCGAAGCAGCAAGCTAGAAAGATGTAACATCCTTGGGATGTATCTACCAATTCAATTCCAGGGTTTTCTAGCAAGAAAATAAAAAAAAAAGCTGTTTCTAAGGAACCTATGTGAAATGAGATTGGTCAGTTCTGAAGAGCTCACTGCTGTGGCATATAACTACCACTAATTTAATGCTAGCATTAAACAGTAAGTTTTATAAATTTGCATTGGTGGTGAAGATTATCGCCCACATTTCCTGTGTGACCTTTTAAATTAAATTATATAATCATGGTTATTGTTCCTGGAATGGCCTCCTGCACTCCTCATTGACCCAGGGTTAATCCCCTCATTTGATGATAATGATAGATTGGATGATATATCAGGTTGAGTTTTCATATTGTTTGGAAACAATTCTACCACTGCTTTTGATCCAAACCACCTCATAAATGCCCAAGCTTGAGTTGCTAGATCTGTTCAAAGATTTTTCCCATTTAGCATGGTGATAGTGCCACATTTAGAATGGAAGATATTCTCAATGTGAATATTGGACTTTGACTCCACAAGGACTATGTCGTGGTCACTTCTACTGATACCATCGTGGACAGATGCGCCATTGAATAATAACAACTGCGTTCCTTTCTTAAAGATCATTATTAAATCAGTTGGATAATTGAACATGTTTTCGCAGTCACAATTAGAATTCTAATTCCAGATTCTATTGAATTCAATTTCACCACCTGCCGTGGTGGGATTCAGACCCAAGTCCCCAGAGCATTACATGGCTTTCTTGATTACTATCCCAGTGACCAAAGTACTATGCCATTGCCTCCCTTCATTGCTTTCTTGTTCATTAACTCTTGTAGTATCACTAAGGCCTGAAAGGCTGTTTGGCTTGGCTTTGCTTTTATTGTCCAACATTTTTTTTTGTTTGGCGGAAGTGGGTGTGGCTGGAGAGACCAGCATTTATTGTCCTTCAGAAGATATCGATATGCTGTCTTCTTAAACTGCTGGATATTGTGTATTATAGTTTATGTCCACCATTCTGTTAGGGAGGGAATTTCAGTATTTTGACGAGTTACAATGAAAGCACAGGATGATGTGTACTTTGGAGGGAAATTTGCATGTGGTGTTATTCCCTTACACCTGCTGCCTTTGTTTTTACTGAGTAGAAGAGCTCACAGGTTTGGAAGGTGTCACTGAAGAATCTTGGGCAAGTTGCTGCACGGCAACTTGCGGTTGATACTGTCTCCAGTAGTGGCACAATGATGGTGGAGGAATTGAATCCTTAATACATTGAATTAGATGTCATAAGTATCATGTTGAGCATTTTGAGTATTGTTGCATGTATCCAGGCAAGTGGGGAGTGATCATCAGAAACATGCAAATACACAAGTTAAGAACAAGTTTAATGACTCGGCCCTTCGAGTCTGCTCCACCATTCAATAAGATCTTGGCTTGTCTGATTTCTTTACTTTCCTGCCTACCCTCGACAACCTTTAAACCCCCTCCCCTTCTCAAGAACCTATATTCCTTTTAAAAATAACAAAAAGACTCTTTCTCAAGACAATGGAAGCTGAGTTCCAAAGATTCATAACTCTGTGAGACAAATTCTCCTTATCTCCACCTTAAGTGGCCCTTATTATTTAACAATGATCCTTAGTTATAGATTCTCACATAAGAGGAAATATCTTTTCCACATGCGACCTATCAATACCCCTCAGGTATATGTTTCATTCAAGTTGCCTCTTGCTGTTCTAAGTTCCTGACTTTTGACAATTGGATGGCAGAAAGACTTTAGAGAAGTGGAAGCTGAGGTATTTTCCATATCCAGCCTTTGCTGTGCTCATGTAGCCAGTGTACTGATGTGGCTTGTATCCAGTTAAGGTCTTGGCCAATCAGTGGTGGTTGTCAGGGAGTTACTGGTTGAATTAGGAGGCATGGTATCAGAAGAAGAGGCATTCCATTTAGGGCTCAGTTGATGTCTAATGGCATCACTCAAGTTTGTGACTCCTTGGAATCTGCTATCCCAGAAGGCCGTGGGTGATTAGACATTACTGATCTCAGCTCTGAATATATGGAGTTTTTTGGATACTAATGGAATTGAGAAATATAGGGAAAAGTCAGGAAAGTGGAGTTGGTGTAGAAAATAAACTGTACTGAATGTCAGCACAGATGTTTGAATCCCATATGGCTTATTTCTGTTCTTATTTTTTATGCTGTAATGTTCACAGATTTAAGGTACTTCTGACAAGCTTCTTCACATTGTTCATGTGCACAAGTAGATTGATATGGTCAGTAAATGCTCTAACATTGCAAAAATATACGCTACCGGTATGTTCTGTATGATGTGAGAGGCACCTGACTCAATAGGTTGGTATTGAGTTCTGTTAATTATAGCCCCCAGTCAAAGTTTTTCACACTCTCTCTTCTGACTTCAAGCTAGTCATCTATTCAGCCATATTAAAAGTTTAATAATGAACTAAATGCTGATATAGTGTGATGTTCTACTGCAGGTACAATGCTGCTGTTTTGGCCCAAGTAATGTGGTATCTGTGTTTGCTGGAACAGTAGACGGTTCAGTTGTGGCTTGGGATCTTCGCGAACATTCCACTATACACAACACTCTACAGACTGGGGGCCAAGAATGGACTCTCAGAACTCCAACATTCTCAACTGGTAAGTGACTGAATGGTTTGAGAGAACCAACACTGATTTGCAAAAGGTAGCTAAAGTCTAACAAATCTAATTGCATTTTTTGTGTAGGTACGAGAATTTTTATGGATATATTTGCGAACAATCAATTTCGGGTCACTGTTTTATGTTCTCCTTTGATTAGTATTTGGGCTGCACCAACAGTAGGTTGAGTATCCTTCTCACTACTGGCCATATATCGTCTATGGGAATGAGGAGCAGGAGATGGTAGCGATGGCGCACTCACAATTTTACTGTCACTGTGAAGTGATTTCCAATGGCAATATTATAGAGCAAGTATGAAGTCCAGGCACAATGTTCTGTCTGTTCTATTTGAGAGTATAGTATAAATCCTCTGATTCATAAAAGAGCCAAGAGGAATGCGCCTATCTATAATCTATTTTAAGTTGTCATTTTGTGAAGCAAGAGGGGAATCTCCTGATATTCAGAAGTGTACATTATTGGTCTCCCTATTTATGGTCTGATGTTATGCGCCTTTAAGAGGAATTTGTTCTGTGCTGTTTCTTTTAAAGAGTGGTGTTGTCACCCTGGAGACAGAATGTTTGCTTCAGAAGCAGTGGGTAAACAACTTTGAGCTCCCTAAGTGTTTTTTTAATTTAGACAAAAGAAGCATGAGTAGGTGGAGTCACGGTCACACAGACCCAGGGTTTTAATTTTTGCTTTCTGTTGAAGTTGGGGATTGAAGCTACTAAACACAGCTCTTTCTATTAAAAGTTTGAGTTCTCTTTTTGTAGTAATATTTAATTTGGTATTCCTTTCTACTGGACTCAAGATAGAATGTGAAAAAATATGTTTTGCTGAATTTGCCTTTGCCAAGAGTGTGTTTATTGGATGCTGCTATATTGGAATAGTTGATGAGTAGTAGCCATATAATATATTCTTTTGTTAAGTATTTCAGTTGAGTTAAAGTTATGCTAATTCTTTTCTTTTCTGTTTGTGTTTTAACTGTGGTGTACGACTAATTTGTGTTTTGTCTAAAGCCAAGTAGTGGACCACTTGAATCATATCTGGAGCAGAGTGCCTTATACTTGTCTTTAAATAAGATGAAAGTTAGTGTCTAGGCTATCTCCTTGATATATTTTGAGTGAGTTTGGTCTGGTCCATAACAATGGAGTAATGTAAATGCATCAGAATCACTTAAAAAAAAGTTTATTACACTCATAACTGATTATAGCTGTGTTGTCTAATGAGGAAAGACTAGATAGATTAGGCTTGTATGCATTGGAGAGTAAGAAGTGGCTTGATTAAATCATAGAAGATCCTGAGGGAAAAGAATGAACGTGAAAAGAATGTTTCTCTGGTGGGAGAATCTAGAACTAAGGGTCACTTTAAAAATACAAAGTGTTTACTCACTACAAAATTCCACCAATAATTGCTTTTACGCATGGTCAACTCTGATTTTTCTCACTCTGCAAGCCAATTTTAAAAAAATGAACAAAAACAAATTTGCTGGAAAAGCTCTGCAGGTCTGGCAGCATCTGTGAAGGGAAAAAAAGAGTTACTGTTTCAGATTCGGTAACCCTTCCTCAGAACCGGACCCAAAACGTTAACTCTGTTTTTTCCTTCACAGATGCTGCCAGACCTGCTGAGCTTTTCCAGCAACTTTGTTTTTGTTCCTGATTTACGGCATCCGCAGTTCTTTCGGTTTTTTAAAAAAATGAAAATCTCCTCGGCTCATTATTATTTTATATTTATACATTCTTTCATTAATTCTTTGCTAGGTTTTTATTGCTTTTTTGTGTGTTTTGGGTGTCAACAGACACAGACAAAAGGTCACTCATTAAAGACAGAAGGAGAAATTTTATTGCTTGTGAATGCAAAATCTTTAAATATTTTTAAGGCAAAGGCAGACAGATTCTTGATGAGGAAAGGAGTGAAAGGTTATTGAATAAAGGCGGTTGAGGTTAAAATTAGATAATCTATAATATGACTGACTGAGTAGCTTGAAGGGCCTAATGGCCTATTCCTGATTTGGATGTCCATATGTCCGTTCTGCACAAATAATCAACGCAAGCCCGAGTGAAACATGCAAATATTACTGCAAGTTTTCATTCTGCTGACCTTCTGCCAAGGTTAGTGGGGAATGAAGAGAATGCTACTGACATCTTCCCTGCCTAAAATTTTACTTCAACAAGTGGAATTTTGTGCATTTGTTCAGAGCTAGGAATACTGCAGCGAGTAATTCACCTGACTACTCAAAACCTGTCCACCATCTAGGGCACAAGTCAGATGTGTGATGGAATACTCCCCACTTGCCTGGATGGGTGCGGGCCCAACAACACTCGAAAAGCTGGATACCGTTCAGGACAAACAGTCCAGTTGATTGACACCAGATCCACAATCCGCTCCGTCCATTATTGATGTTCAGTAGCAGCATTGTGTATTATCTACAAATGCACTGCAGAACTTCACCAAATATCCTTAGACATTATCTTCCAAACTCATGATCAGTTTCATCTCAAAGGACAAGGACAGCAGATACGTGGGAATACCACCACCTACAAGTTCCCTTCCAAATCACTCACCTTCTTGACTGGAAATATATTGCGTATCCTTCACTGTTGCTAGGTCAAAACCTGGAATTCTCTCCCTGAGTACATTGTGGGTGAACCTAAGACACGTGGACTGTAGTGGTTGAAGAAGGCGGCTCACTATCACCTTCTTGAGGGCAACTAGGAAGAGCAATAAATGCTGGCCAGCCAGCAATACCCACATCCCACAAGTGAATAAAAAAAAAGCTGTGTCCTGAGCAAGATTCACCTCAGTTATTGTGTGGCTGACTTTGAACTGAAACTACTGCTGATAGAAACATTTAGCTGCTTCTTCAATGATGATTTCACAAAAATTCCTTCAAGAATCTATAGATTCTTAGCAAGAACCTAAGAACCTAAAAGAATCTCCTCTTATAGTCATAAGGATTAGCAATAGACAATTGGAGTGATTGTCTTACTGAATTAAAGATAATTTCATGTCATAATCACTGTTGCTTTGGGTTGTTGGGACATCAAGCTAAGCCAGAGTTTTTAATTGCTGTGAATTTAATTGAAACACGCATTGATGGTATGTCAACAGTATAATTCATAACCAATGTCTAGAGACAATTCGTTCCCATTTCAATACTATTTTTCATTTGTTCTGAGAATATCCTCCTTTAAAATATTTTAGGTACTACAAAGGAAAATCCTTCCTAACTTGCTATATCATAGTCCAGAGGGTGGGAACAGGCTTCTGTTTAGTACAAATTGACCACTTGGGCCATGTGATCTGCTTCTGCGCTGTAGATTCAATGTAATTCTTGCATTCTTTATTTGAATGGATTTGAAAGTTAATAGTCTACATGCTCGCTATTGTGGCATTCCTCCTGCCTGAATCTCATAATTTGAATTCACATTGTAATCAGTATAAATATACTTACTAAGTATTAGTAACACCAAAAAAAAATTGTGAGGATATGGGTTTGATTTGAATGCAATTTCATTACAGATGGCGTTCTCACAGCTATCAATCACTCCTGTGCAGTGAAAGCTGTTTATCCAGTGTCATCTGTTTGCTTTGATAATCATGATGTTGGGCTTTCACTCTTGTCATCCCAGAAAGGTAGGTTTTCAGTCAGAATTGTGGGTCTTCCATCAGTCTTTCTATCAAAGGTCATCATTTGTCTTCCACAAAATACTTCTAATGTATGTTATTTACATTGAGTATTGAGGTTGGTTGGCTCACCGAGCTGGTTTGTTATTCCGCAGACGTTTCGTTACCGTGCTTGGTAACATCCTCAGTGCAGCCTCTGAGGACGCGTCGGTGTGTTTTCCCGCCTGGTTTTTAAACTCTGGGGTCCGTTGCGATGGATTGCCTCACTTCCGGGTTTCCTCCGTAGTGGAATGTATATGGGGTCGAGTTCAATGTGTTTATTAATGGCATGCTTCATGGAGTGCCAGGAATTCTCGTGCTTGTCTCTGCCTAGCCTGTCCCAGGATCTTGGTGTTGTCCCAGTCGAAGTCGTGGTTCTCCTTGTCCATGCGGATTGAGATGAGTGAGTATTAGTCGTGTCTTTATACATTCCACTACGGAGGAAACCCGGAAGTGAGGCAATCCATCGCAATGGACCCCACAGTTTAAAAACCAGGCGGGAAAACACACCGACGCGTCCTCAGAGGCTGCACTGAGGATGTTACCAAGCACGGTAACGAAACGTCTGCGGAATAACAAACCAGCTCGGTTAGCCAACCAACCTCAACACCCACAACCCGAGCTACAGATCTACTCCAAAACCTTAGTTACATTGAGCATATTTTATAACCAGCAATGTGCTGTAAAAAGAAACAACATTGTACATATACATTTATATTTAGATAATTATATTTAGCTATTATTTATTTAGATAAATATGCAACTTCTTGTTAATCCTATTTTATATCTTTCCCAATTATTAAATGTTTAGGGCCTGTCATTTCAATCTGAACAAAATCATGTAAAGACTAAAATCGATTATTTAATTTGAGATCTACTGTGTTAACACAATTACTAATTTTTGAAATGATGAAAGTAATGTCATCAGTGAAAGCTCCAACTAAGTTTCATTAACTGCTTTTCTACTTTTTGGTTCAAGATTTAAATGTACTCTGCATACTCATGACCAATACAGCAGGCAAATTTATCCCTTCTTGTATTTTGTCAATCTGTGATTCTGTAGTTACATGCTTTGAACTGCAGAAGAAAAGCACAAAGTGGCCTACCAAATCATTTTGCTATGATTTTGTATAGACCCATTTGAAATGGTCTTCCCTGCTGATTGGTACATATGTTTCATGACTTGGCTGAGACTAAACTGGCCACGTTAGTGTGACTTGAACACCACAATGATGTTGGTTGTGGCTCAGTTGTCAGCATATTATCCTCAAGTCAGGAGGCAGAGGGTTCCACTGGTGAAAATCTCCATCCACTGCTGAACTGCTGGGAGAGTAATCTTTTGGATGAGATGTTAGGAAGACCCTGTTAAGTAGATGTATCCCAGACTGTTTGACGAGGAGCAGTGAAGTTATCTCTCTCGTCCTGATTGCAACAACTCCACAGAGGCTGGTATGCCGTCATCAAGTCACCTTTTACTTGAACGTGAACAGTTCTTGACTTTAGTACTGCCTCATTCAGAGCCACCTATCAGAGTGGCAGTATCTCTGACATTCCCCTTTTTCTATCAGCCAGGGCTCTCTGGACCAAATTAACAGCCCCAATCATGGGAACTCATATTCTATGAAGGACAGCTGGCTGACCTCATTACAATCGCTACACTGGTCAATAATTACTTCTCAATCAACAACACAAAAAATAAAACTTGATCATTATCACTTTGTTGTGGAAATTTGCTGTGAACAGATTGGCTGCCATGGTTCTTACATTACATCAGTGACTGTACTTGAAAAGTTTAATTATGTGGGTTAGAATTTTACCTTTGTAATATATTTATAAGTGGTTGAAGTCAAAATATTTCCAATTTACTAGGGTAGTTAGCAATCATATTTTTGTGTTTTGGTATTTAAGAATTTTCTTTTTTTCTACATAAGGAAGTTCAGGACTGTCATTTCAGCTCGCGACGCTAGATGAAGGTGGTTTGCTTAATCTGTGGGTAAGCACAGTCATGTCACTACACATAAAGGTCTAAGTAATTTATGTTTTTGTTTGGTTAATTAACAGAATACATGAATCTATTTATAGTATAGGCCAGTAAAATGTTGTGACTCTGAAACATATATTTCTATTTGGGATAAGCATGTGAATAATTAACTGTTCTGTTTGCATCAGAATATCCATAAATTGAGATTGAAAGGAAATTTAACATTCTGCTTTTGAATCAACTGTATATTTACACAAGTCTCACTTTTCTCTATTTATTGAATATTCCTAACAATTTTTTGATAAATAGTACCAAAGGTTTTGGAACGATGCTCCAAATATTATTCCCAAGTTCAAGTTGTTTTGGTCATTATTTATTTTAGTAATTAGTTAATCCAGTTAATTGTTTCATTCAATTATCTATAATTTAATTTAGAAAAGCTAGAATTTTTAGAATTGCTACATTACATTGAAATTAAAATCTAATTTCTTAGAACTGGATACTGGCATTCCTTCATTGTAATTAAACAATGCTTTGTTTAAGTCCTAAACCAATTTTCCATATTTTTTGAGGGAGCTTGTCCTCTTCCAATTCTTTTTGATGTTTGCTATTTCACAAGTCACATTTATAAATCGTTTATAATGTCTATGGCTTTTTTAATGAGCCGTCAGTCTTATTCTAGTGTTTATATGAACCAAGCCTTTGATTTTGGTAGAGAAACACATTATTTAGACTGACTAGTTCTTAAACATGTGACTTCTACTTTTTTCTAATGTTTTTAGTTTACAATCTAATTTACTTTCAAGATGGAAAAAGTATAATTTTGGAGTACAAATTTGCAATTTATGAATGTTGGGATGATAATTGAAGCGTGTTTTGTTTTTCCTTATTCTTTCATGGGATGGAGGCCATTGCTGGTTAGGCAATATTTATTGCCCATCCCTACATTGCCCAGAGGGCAGTTAAGAGTCAACCATATTGCTGTGGGTCTGGAGTCACATGTAGGCCAGACCAGGTAAGGATGGCAGTTCCCTTCCCTAAAGGACATTCGTGAACCAGATGGGTTTTTCCTGACAATCGGCAATGGATTCACATTAGAATTTTAATTCCAGATACTTATTGAATTTAAATTCCACCATCTGCCGTGGTGGGATTTGAGCCCAGCTCCCCTGAACATCACCTGGGTCTCTGGATTAACAGTCCAGCGATAATACCCCTGGTACCTTAAAGTGAAAAATGCTATCCTCTATTATTTACAAAAAGAGAATTTGGTAGTAACTTGAAGAAGAAAGATATTAAAAAGTACCTGGGAAATGAGCTGGTGAGTGGGATCCAAGTAGAAACTCAACATATCAAGATAGATGGTCCTGCACTGTACTTGGCGTTTATGTCACCCACTGTTGGCACACTGTACTCTCTTTAGGATGCACAGTAGAACCTCACCAAAGTTCTTTCAGCAACTACTGTCAACCTTATAATTTCTACCATCAAGAATAACAACAGTATGGGTAACCTGTTATCTCTGGTTTCCCTTCCGAGTCTTAAACCATATTGGCATGGACATTTTCTTTTCAGCTTTCTGACCCAGTAACAGCAATTCTTTGTCTAGCACTGAATGAGAGGACTTTGAACATAAAAACTACATCTGTTCAAGGAGAAGTCGCAACATTATGGCAACTAGGAGCAATAAGTACAAACTCCCAAGTTTGCAAAGACCTTGAAAGCTAAACAAGAATACTTGTTGCATACCAGGATCTCTGCTTTAACATACCATGAATTAATGATTTGATAGTTATTTGAGCTGGTGACTCAGTAAATTAATAATGTTTTAAACATTAAGAGTTTGTTCTATAGTCCAACATATCTTTTAATATTTAGGAAGGATTTTTCAATAAGACGAAATGAATATGAAGAGCACAGTGAGCCTTCCTGTGGCAATTAGGTGTAGAATTGTTGTGCCTGTACCAGGAACTTTGGGGTCTGAAGAATATAGTTGGCAACAGAATGTGAGCCAGTGGGTCTGGGGAAGCAAAATTATATGGGGAAATGGTCTAAGTAAAAGTAGCTGCCTTTGTCAAATTGAGAAACTGGAAACTGCATTGAAAGCCCACGTTCCCCTAATCTTATGATTGTGAAGATAAACTTTTCTTCAAATATAACCTGACTGGAAACAGTTCTAATTTTGCAAATAGACAATGCTGCTTAAGAACAAAATACAGTAAGTGCATTACGCCTTGATAATGGAGAGTGGCAGTGAGGGGGAGAGTAATTGTGAGATTTGGAAGGGGTATAGCAAAGGACAAAAGGCCAAGGGTGGGGTTGGAGATCCAAATAGCTGTTGGGAGATCATGAATGGAAGATTGGGGATAATATTGTGGTTACATGACTGGAAATATATTGCGTATCCTTCACTGTTGCTAGGTCAGTATCCTGGAATTCACTCCCTACGAGCATTGTGGGTCAACTTAAGGCATGTGACTGCAGTGGTTGAACAAGGCAGCTCACTACCACCTGTTTTTGCTGATCTTCCTTCTCCTGAGCCCTCACTGTGAGTAAGTTCTTGGGAAAGGAGCAGTGAGAGTGGAGAAGCAAGCGGGGAGAAAGACCAACTGTGAAAGGAAGAGTTGGGAAGAGAAGTGACAAGTGGGACAGTCAGCAAGTAGACTGTGGAAAAGATGAACGCAGGCTGTTTGGGAATACCCCTGCTTATAGAAGCGCTAAACTGAATTAAGTGTGGAAGGCCATCAATGTGGAATTCTTTCCCTATCATCTCTTCTTTATCTCCATCTATGCTGCTCTTATTCTTTAAATATGCTCCTTAAAACATACCTGTTTTAACCACGGACAAACACAGAATGTCAGAGAAACTCACCAGGTCTGGCAACATCTTTGTAGACAGAAACAGATATTGCTTCAAATCTGGTATGACTCTTTTTTGTAGAACTGCTGTTCAGAGTCACACCCGTCTGAAATGTTAACCGTTTCTGTCTCCGCAGATGCAGTCAGATCTGATTAGTTTCTCCAGAGTTCTGTTTGTTTCCGATTTATGTGTTAAGATCAAGTGTTTATTTATCTATCCTCTGAATCTACCTAGCAGCACAATGTCAAGTTTTGTTTGATAACACTCTTGTGAAGCACCTTGGGAGGCTTTTTTTACATTAAAGGTACTTTACAAATGAGATTTGTTGTTGATGAGGTAGTGAAAGGTGCTATATAAATTCTAATTATTTGTTCTTTTCAGGTAGTGGTCGAGCTACAAAAGGCAGATCTTGCTGGTTCTTTAACAGATTTGGGTATGTATGCAATACATGGGGCAGCAGGATAAATAATTAAAAGAAAATTAGTTTCAGAGATACAGAACTCTCACCTTCTGAGTTAGAACGTCATGAGTTCAAGTCCCATTCCAGGACTTTAGCACATAACCTACGCTTACACTTTGGTTTAGTGTTAAGGGAATATTTGAATTTTATATGAGACATTAAACTGAAGCCCCATCAGCTCTTATTGAGTTTTGTAAAAGATGTCTTGGTACTATTCTTTAAAAAAAATGAGCAGAGAACTTGTTTCATTTGCATCAAACAGTTACCCCTGAAATGGAAATGTCAAAAACAGATTATTTGCAGGTTGTGGGATCTAGCTTTGTGAAAATGGGTTGCTGTGTCTGCCTTTAAAAGAATGGGTAAATAACAGTGCGCGTAATTCATTGGCAACTAAATAATTTAGGAGGGCATGGAGGTTTGTTCTTTAGTGAAGTATGATCAAATTGTGGATTGCTCAGTAAAAGGGGGAAGAAAGGAAGATTGGATGAGTTGAGGAACAAAATGAATGATCCAAAACAGCAATTTCCAGAAAGCATTTTCAAATTACAGAGAGGGTTGTCCAGAGAGATTTTGGATTTTTAATAGGCAAGGAAGTTTTTTTAAAGCCAGAATTTATTTTCCACCCCTAGAGTCAACCACGTTGCTGTGGGGAGAGAGCAAGCTAATGTTTTGAGCTCTGATGCTGAGTGATCTAGACTCAGCGTTTGCTTGCTCTCTCTCCATGGATTCTGCCTGGCCCACTGTGATTTACAGCATTTTTTGTTTTCAGTACAGATTCCAGCATCTGCAGTAATTTGCTCCTACATTGCTGTGGATCTGGTGTCACATGTAGGTCAGACCAGGTAAGGATGGCAGTTTCCTTCTCTAAAGAACAATAATGAACCAAATGGGTTTTTCTGACAATCGACAATGGATTCATGGTCATCACTGGATTATTAACTCCAGATATTTATTGAATTCAAATTCCACCATCTGCTATAGCAGAATTTGAACCCAAGTCCCCAGAACATTATCTGGGCCTCTGGATTAACGGTCCAGCAATAATACCACTAGGCCATCACCTCCCCATAACATAATCTAAACACAAACTCATTCCTTCAGCAAAACACAGAAAAATATTTAAATCAGTAACCTTTCTAATCATTAGGTCGTCACTTGACTTCATAGGTGTCCAATTTTTTTTTGTTCATTTTCTTTCATTTCATCTAACACAGCAAAGTTAGCTAATTTCTATGGAGGTCAAACCTTAAATACCTGAACTGCTGACTTGGTGGAGAGGGTTAACCCGAGCACTTGGCATTTCAACTCCTGCATCACCCTAAGCTGGCAGTTGTGGTCATTGATGGAATCAAGGCCGGAGGCAGCTAAATGTAGTCATGGCCAAAAAGATACTTCCATTTTTTGATTAAACTAATAAATTATTGTTTCATACTTCGCATCAGTTTTCACACTGCAAGACACCATTTGCACACCAGAATTTCAAGAAAGTCAAAGGGCAGAGATGAGTGTAGTGGCAGTCATTAAGGAGAAGGTGCTGGGGAAGCTGAAAGGTCTGAAGGTGGATAAATCACCTTGACCAGATGGACTACACCTCAGAGTTCTGAAGGACATAGCTGAGGAAATTTAAGAGGTATTGTTGGTGATCTTTTAGTAATCACCGGAGTCAGGGAGGGTTTCAGAGGACTGGAAAATGGCAAATGTAACAGCCCTGTTTATGAAGGGAGAGAGGCAGAAACCAGGATATTATAGACTGGTTAGCCTGTCCTTGGTCGTTGATAAGATTTGAGAGTCCACTATTAAGGATGAGATTGCAGAGTACTTAAAAGTGCGTGGTAAAATAGGGCTGAGTCAGCATGACTTTGTCAAGAGTAGGTCATTTTGACAATCTGTTAGAATTCTTTGAGGATGTAACAAGCAAATTAGACCAAGGAGAACCAGTGGATGCAATCTCTGGATTTTTTTTAGAAGGCCTTTGGCATGGATAGAGGATTGGCTGACTGGCAGAAAGCAGAAAATAGGGGTAAATAAGTTTTGTGGGGATTGCAGCCGGAGACTAGTGGTGTTCCATGGGGCCCAGTGTTGGGACCACAACTGTTCACGTTTGCATTAACGATCTTGACGAAGGAACTGAGGGCGTTGTTGCTAAGTTTGCAATTGCCACAAAGACAAGTGGAACAGCAGATCATATTGAGGAAGGAGGGAGGCTCCAAAATGACTTGGACGGGTTAGGAGAGTGGGCAGGGAAGTGACAGATTGCATACTTTGTGAGGTTATGCACCTTGGTCAGAAGAATAGAGGTGTAGAGTATTTTCTAAACAGGGAAAGGCTTCAAAATGCACTTAATGACTTGGGAGTCCTAATTCAGGATTCTCTTAAGGTTAACGTGCAGGTTCGTTTGGCAGTTAGGAAGGCAAATGCGATGTAAGCATTCATTTCAAGAGGGCTAGAACACAAGAACAGAAATGTACTGCTGAGGCTGTATAAGGCTCTGGTCAGACTCCATTTGGAATATTGTGAGCAGTTTTGGGCCCTGTATCTAAGGAAGGATGTGCCAGCATTGGAGGAGGTCCAGAGGAGGTTTACAAGAATGATCTTGAGCATGAAGAGCTTGACATAGGACTGGTGATGACTCTGGGTCTGTACTCGATGGATTTTAGAAGGGTGATGGGGGCATCTGATTGAAATTTACAGAATACTGATAGGTCTGAATAGAGTAGACATGGTGAAGATGGTTCCTTTAGGAGAGACTAGGACTCAATGGCACTGCCTCAGAGTAAAGTGGCAGCCCTTTAGAACTGAGGTGAGGAGGAATTTCTTCAGCCAGTTAATCTATGGAATTCATTGCTGCAGAGGGCTTTGGAGGCCACGTCATTGAGGGAATTCAAGGCAGAAGTAGATAGGTTCTTGATTGTTAAGAGGATCAAGGGTTTTAGAAGGCAGGAAAATGGGATGGAGAAACATATCAACCTTGATCTAATGGTAGAGTTGACTCAATTGGGCTAAATGGCCTAATTCTCCTCCTATATTGTATACTCATAGAGCCATACAGCATGGAACCAGAACCTTTGGTCCAACCAATCCATGCCAAATGTTATCCTAAACTAAACTAGTCTCACCTACTCCTGCCCATATCCCTCCAAACCTTTCCTATTCTTGTACTTATCCAAGTGTCTTTTAAACATTGTAATTGTACCCATATCCCCCACTTCCTTGGGAAGTTCGTTCCACACGTGAAACACCTGCTGTGTGAAAAGTCTTAGGTCTTAACTTGGATAAATCATAAGGCATGCAACCTGAATGTAAAGCTCACTTTTAAAGATGCTATTTCTGTACGTGGAGTGGTTGGTCCTTGCTTCCTGATATTGCCAGTAGTGTAGCATGTAGAAAAAAGGACAAATTTAGAAACCTAGATATACCTGAATTAACCATTTAGGCAGAGGAAGAGACTTATTGCCTACTTTTGACAGCTAACAGCATTGGTGCAAAAGGAAGAAGTTTGATGAGGATGTAGGATGAATGAGGAGGATAAAGAGCAACTGAAAACAATAGTCACAATCGCATGGGCTGTAAATTAATGCTGGTCATACTCCTAATTAACATTAATGAAATACTGCCTTTTATCTGGTTATAGTCCAACAGGTTTATTTGAAATTACAAGCTTTTGGAACGCAGTCCCTCCTTCGGATGTAGTGAGAGGAGAGCACACAGACACAGAGTTTAGGGGCAGAGAGATCAAAAAATCATCCAACTGGTGTGAGTGAGATGAACAAACCTAAAATGGCTGGCTGGCTACCTCCTGTTGTACTTTTAATTGTTCATACATTCCCTCATACTAAAAATTGCAGAAGTAGGATATGGAGAACTCTGTTAGAAAGGAGACGCAAGTTTTGATTGATTAAGATGCAAATTCCAGAATCTGTTTCAAGTCACTGCCCCGAGATAATTAAAGGTTTCATCAGTGTCTGCCTAACTTTGCAAACTTCAAACACACAGAGTGATAGGAATATACAAAAAAGTGACAAAAAGTGATTGTGGGTGTGAGGCCTTGCGTCGTGCGCACATGAGAGAGGGAAAGAATGTGTGTGTGTTGTGTGTCTGTGAGTGAGTGTGAGGTGACCCCACCACACTGTTCTGTATCTGTAAAATCTTCCTTACTGTCCTGTTTTGACAGCATCTCTCTACCTTCATTAGTTGGTACAGTTATGGATTATTTATTACACTCTCTCTCACACACACTCGCATACACACACATACACACACACATATATCTATGGGATGAATCATTTCATCCAAGATGTTTGTTTATTTGCAGTTGCATTCAATTTTGTTCAAGAAACACAATTTGTTGTCACAGTCTGTCAGTGTGGCATTTTATTTTGGGATAAAACCAGCCTGATTCCAGATCAAAACTCTTGAGACAGATTCTGGACAAGGCCTCATACCTACAATTCAGTGTCTGACCTGAGATGTCACCTTTTGTATATTCCTATCACTCTGTCAGTTTGAAGATTGGAAAGATAGGCAGGCACTGATGAAACCTTTAATTATCTCGGGGCAGTGACTTGAAACAGACTCTGGAATTTGCATCTTAATCAATCGAAATTTGCATCTCTTTTCTAACAGAGTTCTCCATACCTTGCTACTGCAATTTCTAGAATGCAGGAATGTATGAATGATTAAAGATTCAACAGGAGGCAATCAGTCAGCCATTTTAGGTTTGTTCACTCCACTCCCAGTTGTATGATCCTTTGATCTCTCTGCCCTTCATCTCTCTGCCTATAAGCTCTGTGTCTGTGTGCTCTCCTTTCACTACACCTGACAAAGGGACTGTGATTGGAAAGCTTGTGATTTCAAGTAAAACTGTTGGACTGTAACCTTGTGTCGTGTGAGTTTTGACCTTGTCCACTCCAGTCCAACACCGGCTCCTCCACATCGTGCCTTTTATCTGAATAAATCTAAATAAAAACCTTTGTCTTTTCTCTTGGTCCAGGCCTTATTCCTGGCGGGAAGATAAAGTTGATCCACAGCTCTTCTATTGAGGTGAACAGGTAGGCTCGGATGGCCCAATTCTATAATGATGCACACTAGCTGTGTTTTTGATCTTATATTATTTGCTGTATGCACTTCAGGCCTGTTGATTCCTAAAGCACAGATAGGCATGTCAGTTATAAACTTCCATTCCTTTCACAAGGCTTTTAAATGGAAAGCACTCATTTAAAGTTAGCTTGGAAAGAATAATATTCAGCCGTTCAAGAATGTTTCATCTTGAAGGGAAGTGTTACAGTTGGGTGATGTGAATTTATTTTCTTGTTGTCTTTATTACCCTGTTGAAGCCTGTCACAGTGAGCCTAATGGTGTCCTCCTGTGTTCTAAACCTCTATTGTTCATTGATTAAAGCTTCACTAATTACAGATTATGCCCCTTTTATGACTTCAAATTTAAAATTATTTTGATCAGCTGCCATGTTTATTTTAAGAATACATGGCCTTTTATTTTTCTATTCATTGTTAAGCGAACGTTGTCTGGCACCTCCTCACTCATTCCTGAAAATTCAGTTTCTCACGAGCAACTTTCCCTTTCCCAAGTATAGACAGATTGGACATAACTATACATTAATACCCTGTTTTATGGCCCTACCTTCCTAATGTAATGTTTAAATGAAACAACACTGCATTTGTTTACTGCTTATATAATTGAACAGTCCTGTACTGATTTGGCTTATTTTTCTTCATCTGCTTAACTTGAAAACTTACTCAACCGTTAACCTACTGAATACTCTGTACTTTTTGCAAGCCATTTGGCTTTCTCTCACTTTACTTTTAATACTTTTTCTAAAGTACATTGACCTCAGAGAGAGAAAGAGAGAGAGAGAGAGAGAGAGAAAAAGGTGGTGTTGGGGTGGCGGGGTGGTGCAGGGACTAATGGTGAGGTTAACTTGAGGGTCACCATGTCTTGGGCAAGTGACAAAGTTGAGAAGGTGATGATCTCAGCTGGTACAGAAATTGAAGCAGTAGGTTGGCAGTCAACCTGCCAACTGATCTCAGTGACAGAAGGCATTTAGCTTGTTGTTTGAAAGTCGGCCAAAAATATATGAAAAGAATGAGCATTCCTGAATTAGTTTTGATTTTGTTTCCCTCATAGTGGGCTACTATATGCATTTCGTTCTTCAACTTTGGACTTGGTTCATGCTGATCATTGGTCTCATTTCATAAAATAGCTTTTTGCTGATATACTTTTAATCTATCCTTATACCAATTAGCAAGAATTTAAATGATGATGTTTCTATCATGGCCCACAGGTTCCAGGAGTTTATTGATACTATTTTTCTGTTGTGTTTTAATCAGCTTTTTCCCAAGAAATCTCACGCAGCTGGGACCTCCTCGGACTCTGAGCATCAGGTTTCTGCCTTCTGATCCTAATCATTTCTTTATTGGAACAGATGCTGTGAGTAATTGTAAAACTAAGTGCAGTGCAATGTTTTGTAATACAAATGGAAACTCTTTCTTTGGCTCTTGCTGTAGACATATCTTTTGCTTCTCTGTTTCTTATCTTGCCCATCACCAATGCCCCCAGCCTCAGAAAAGTAAGTCTTTTGCCATTCAATCCTTCCTGTATTTCACTCTATTACATATCTTCCTATTGTCCTTGTTCTTTCTGCACCACACCTCAATATAGTCTGCTCAAAACATATGTATGAACACACCAATTAGGAGCAACAGTAGCGCACTCAGTCCCTGAAGCCTGCTTTGCCTTTCAGTAAGGTCATGGCTGATCTGATCATTCCACATTCCATCTCACCCCCAATAATCTTTCACCTATTTGCTTGTGAAGAATCTATCCACCTCTACCTTAAAGTATTTAAAAATTCTGCTCCCATCTTTTGAAGAAGAAAGTTCCAAAGAACTGTGGCCCTCAATGATAAAGGAAATTCTCCTCACCTCTACCTTAAAATGTATTACATTTCTAACTTTTTCTTGTTCTGATCAAAGGTCACAGACCTCAAATGATTACTCCGTTTTTCTCTTTCGACTAGTGCTGCCAGACTTGCTGAGTTTCTCTAAGATTCTGTGTTTATTTCAGCTTTTCAACATCCTCATTGTTTTGCTTTTGTTTTGCCTAATCTGATTGTTTTCCGCGGTTTCTGCTTTAATTCACCCTCTGGACTCCATATACTCAGATCCATGTGTTTAAAAAAAGTTAGAACAGAATAAAGCATCAAATATGAAAGGAGTAAAAAGATCAATTTATTATGTTTTGTTAGTGTTAACCAGGCTATATCAGTTAGTGTTTTGCTTTTTATTTTGTTGTTTAATTGACAGCCACAGCAACTGCACTAGAAGATACCCTAAGAAGAGATTCTCCTCTTATTGATCTGATTTTTGTTTGATTCTTTTACTGTGTTCATTTTTGTCCATTTCCCTTAAATTTGATCTCTCCAACTCTGTTACTTCTGCTGGTTCTCTTATTCTTGCAGTGAACTGGAGATTTTCCTCAACTTATTTGATACTAAGTTAAAAACTGATTTTCTATAGAAGTGAAATGGAAAGAAAAGCATGCTTTGAGATCAGTATTAATGATAACCTATTTCATATAATTATTTCTATTCTCTTAATAGGGTCTTGTGAGTCATGGTACCCGTCATGGCTTGCAAGCAGCACCGAGGCTATACAAATCTCAAATAAATGGTGCCAGAGCAGTTCAAGTCACGTGTATTGATTTCTGTCATTTTGGAAACACACTGTTCCTGATAAGTATTTTATGATTATGGATTTGATTTACTTCAATGCTCATTATCCTCTAACTTACTAGGGAACAAAGAGTGATTTCCTCCCTCTTCAGTTCTGGAGAATTAAGATGTTTTAGGATGTGTTATCTCATCCAGGTGATTAACATATATCTTTACACATAAGCTAAAACACAGTGTTACTAACCTTTTATCATTGGTTGTATAACCATGGAGTCTAATTCTGGCTTTGCTAAACTTCCATGTTTGGTAGCCCTAGTGGAGAAGGTGCTGGTGAGTAGGAATTGTGACTAATATTTTTCTGTCTTCCTTGTTTGAGGTATGAACCCAGTTTGTTGTGAGGCAGTGGTCTCAGTTGGCTTTATTGCTGCATTATGTTCACTTGTTAGAAATAAGTAAGGTTGTTCATGTTCATGACCTCAGCCTGGGTGGGCACTGTGACATGAGCTGAACAGAAATTTTAACACAGATCCTCCCTTTTCAAATTATAATGTTGCTAGTGTTAGCAAACTTTAACGTTGATGGACTCCTATCACAATGTCAAGTACAGATTAATAGGCATTGAAGATAAATGTAGACCTTGTCATAATTGCACTTTATGATTTGTTATGTAATATGACCTACCTGGCATTTTAGACACACAATCAAAGTAGTTCTGTTTAATTCATTAGATATGATATAAACAGAACACTATTTCCGCAATTGAAGAGACTTGTACAAACTGTACAAACAGAAATCTCCTGATCTCTTGAAGAGTTAAAGTAAATTTATATCAAAATATGTTGTGGATTCATGTAAGAAAACTAGAGAGCCTGGATAATGGGTTATTATGAAGTCTTTCAATACAGGGCTGTCTGAGATCAATAAAAATATAACTGCCAGTATGTGACTTTATCACAAAGGTCAAAGGTATAATTTCAAAGTCGGAATGGTTTAAAATACCATTTGTGGTGTTGCCTTGCAGGTTGGGTGCTCAGATGGAACAATTAGACTGCACTCAGTGACAACAGAGCATCCTGTTATTCAGTGGAATGAAAGCACTCGGGGTAGATCAATCCAGGCTGTATTATGGGCACTGACTCGACCTGGCATGTTTTTTGTTCTTGACGCATCATCTCATGTTTACGTATGGGATTTATTGCAAAATGTTTCCAAACCTGTTGCAGAGGAGAGCCTTCTGTCTGATAAGTAAGTACAGTGGTTTAATTAATACAGAAGCTATAGCTCTGATTCTTGTAACTGTACCTCAAAGTTGTGTCATGTTCTTCATACTGTTGTTTACCAGGAAGATAGAATATGCTAGATAGCTTCTTTTTTTTAAGTCAAACTTGAAATGGTGGTTCAAAGCTCCAGCTATGTTTTGTGTATTTCATTCTTGGACCTGCCTTATCAACTCAACTCACTAGAGTTAATATCTAGACCTCAGTGTTTCAGCTTGTTCTGAAAGCCCACATTGATCAGAGAGAGGACTTTTCTTGTGGGCTTCAGGACCCCACCATCAGTTTGAAATAACGTCCAGGAGCCTGCACTATTTCGGAAACAGTCAACCGGCTGAGATTTTCCGTGCTGTATTTTGGAAACGCAAATCAGGGCAGGGCTTATACATTTGATGATAAGGTCCTAAGGAGTTTTGCTGAACAAAGAGACTTTGGAGTTCACAGTTTCTTGAAAGTGGAGTCCCAGGTAGATAGGATAATGAAGTAGGTGTTTGGTATGGTTGCCTTTATTGGTCAGTACATTGAGTATAGGAGTTGGGAGGTCATGTTGTGGCTGTACAGGACTTTGGTTAGGCCATTTTTGGGAAACTGCATGTAATTCTGGTCTCCCTGCTATAGGAAGGATGTTGTGAAACTTGAAAGGGTTCAGAAAAGATTTACAAGGAGGGTTTGAGCTATAAGCAGTAGCTGAATAGGCTGGGGCTATTTTCCCTGTAGTGTTAGAGGCTGAGGGGCGACCTGATAGAAGTTTATAAAATCATGAGGGGCATGGATAGGGTGAATATTCAAGGTCTTTTCCCCAGTGTAAGGAAGTCCAAAACTAGAGGGCATAGGTTTAAGGTGAGAGAGAAAGAATTTAAAAGGGACCTAAGGGGCAACTTTTTCATGCAGGGGACGGTGCGCGTGTGGAATGAGGTGCCAGAGAAAGTGATGGAGGTTGGTACAATTACAAATTTTAAAAGGCATCCGGATGGGTATATGAATAGGAAGGGTTTAGAGGGATATGGGCGAAATGCTGGCAAATGTGACTAGATTAATTTAGGATATCTGTTTGGCATGCACGAATTGGTCGGAAGGGTCTGTTTCCATGCTGTACAACACTATGACTCTATGAATCTATTACTTGGTCAATTAATGGCCAGAGAGCAGACGCATTGCCCAATTAAAGACTGTGGGTGGACTCGCAGGAAGACCAATAGAGATCTTGGAAGAAGCAGAGCGATGCCTTTCTAGGTTTATAAGAGGAAGGGCATCTCCAACTTTCTTAATTTCACAATAAGAATGTCTTCAGCAGTCAGACCACCATTTTGTTTTGGGAGATGGCAATATGATGGGAGCCTCTTCACAAGGCAGCCTGCAACTGAAGCCAGGGAGGGCTTCCAAGTCTACCTGGACCATTGATCCCTCTGCCTCCACCACCGCCTTCCAAGAAGCTGCCTCTAAGCAGCTACAGCATTCCCAGGTGCTTCCTGGGATGTGGCCTCTCTTAGTGCATCTTTAATAGCTCAATCGGCTATCTGCATTTGACACCCCTACCATCTTCTGTGCCCCTCTCTCTAAAATTCAACCCAATGATAAACTCATCAGGAATGGCAAAACAGGCTAACATCTGAGCTCTGTGATAGAGATATTAGGTAGAGAGGTTTCATTTGTGGAGACCAAAACTAAGGGCTATAAAATGATCAAGAAATTCAAAGAGATTTTAGGAGACCTCTATTACCAAATAATGGTTAGGACGTGGACCGTGCGGTCACAAGGAGTAGATGAGGAAAGCAGCTTTGAAACATTTAAGGGAAAGGAATAAAACTGATTTCTGGGATGACAGGCCTGACTCATGAAGAGAAACTGGATTGGTAGGGACTATAATCGCTGGAGTTTAGAAGAAAGAGGGGAGATCTCATAGAAACCTGTCAACTTCTAATAGGACTAAACAGAGTACACACAGGAAGGATGTTTTCAATGACCTGGGTGTCCAGAACCAGGGTTACTGTCTCAGGATAGTGGGTAGGCCATTTAGGAATGAGGTGAGGAGAAATTTCTTCACCCAGTGAGTGGTTAAGTGAAGCAGTTGAGGACAAAACATTGAATGTTTTTCAAGAAGGAGTTAGATACAGTTGTTAGGCCTAAAGGGATCAAAGGTTTTGAGGAGAAAGCAGGAATAGGAAAATAACAGCTGGCTCAAAGGGCTGACTAGCCTACCCTTGCTCCTATTTCTAATCTGGTAGGGGGCTATGCTGATAAAGTTAGATGGTGAAGGATTGTAGGGTATAGATTTTGACCATTTGGGCTTATTTCTGCATTATACATTCTGTGTAATTATGCAATAACTGTGTAAGTCCCAAACGTCAGCTTTCCTGCTCCTCTGATGCTGCTTGGCCTGCTGTGTTCATCCAGCTCTACACCTTGTTATCTGAGTATGTTTCCTTATGGCCTTGCAGTGGAATTATTTGCATAAAATTTTACCTTTTGTGGTTTTACCTACTTGCAAAACTTGTGCTTTCCCTTTGTAAATCCATGTCCTATATACATTTTAGTTAGATTTGGTCAAATTTGTCTTGTGTTAGTTCTGCTCATAGTATTTTTGCAGCAAAGATTACAGCGGTTATAAATATCAGATGTTTCTTAGTGTGCATGTATTGGTGCCTTTGTTTGCATCTACAGCTTTAAGTCTCTGATACGCTAATACCCACGAGATTGGATTTTCTAGTGATGGAGTTTTTCCTGCAATATAAAGAAATCTCCATTTCAGCAGTTAAATTTTACTCTAGTGGCAAATTGACATTTTATAAAAAGTAAATAATTTCATTTTGGATTTCTGAATCTTACACAACTTTTTTTAACTTGTGCTGATTAGGTAAATGAAAATGCATGGGCTATCCATTATATTCACGTTTAGTGTTGATGTTCTGGAATGTTTGATATGTTTGTGTCCTTTTACTTAAGTATGAAGCTTGATAACTAAATGTTGTTCTATTTGTCTTCCTCTCCCCACTTAACAGGATAACAGCTATAGCTATTCTTGGTGACCCAGAGAAGCCAAGTGCATCTTCAGGCCTCATGTTGGCAAAGCAGTCTGGAGCAATTGAGATTCAGTATCTAATGAAGCAATGGTCAGAGCCTCATCTAAATGAGTTGGAAACATTGCACTATATTCTGCAGAAAACTGCATAGAATTGTGTACAGACTCTGAAAAGGACTCTGCGAGTTCATCAACTTGCCCATGATTACTAGTTTGTAAATGTGATACTTTTTGTACAGTCAGCTTTTTTGTAAATGTTATTTATAAAATTTCATTATATATCCATTATAGTACATTATAGTATAAAGTATTTATCAAGCCACCTGTTTTATATGATGTTTCTCCATGCATATAGACATGCAAATACAATATATTTTGTAGCTCACTGAATATACCAGACTGGTTTTGACTATTCCTTTCTCTGTTGTAGGCTGTCAGGAAGCTAACGTTATTAATATGATTACAAACTTTAAGAATCCACAAAACTAGTAAAATAGCTGTTAATAATAGATTGCAACACTAATGATAGAATGTACATTAGTGATAAGTAACAACTCTTGTTTTTATTATTCATGTGTAGTTATATACATGTGGTTTAATTACTGAATATAGAATTCATCTGCCTGTGATATAACTCATAATATTCACTATTCTGAGTTGACCAAGTCCACGTACCAGTCAGGCGAATTGTATATTTCTGTCACTCACACCTGTAGAGTTCTTTTTTAATACAATGGTAGTAAAGGCAAAATAGTGAATACAGGAGGTAAAATTTTAGAACACTAATTTTCTCAATTTTATTTTAGTCTTGGTTTTCTGAATTGTACATACAGTTATTAGTGTGTTAAGCTGATTAAAATCCTCATACTTTAACTCACTACTAAGAATGCAACGTGTAAGATTTTGCTATGTTGGTATTTATTCTTGAAGCTAAATCTAGGGGCTAAACAGGGCTGAGTTATTTTAAACATATATTTAAATGCATACATTATATTAGAGAAATAAAGAAAAACTTTCTAGCGGATTATTGGTACAAGTAATTTCTTAAACATGATGTCTCAAGAAAAATTCTGCAACAGCTAATAAGTCACCGTATAAGTCTAATTTATTCAGCCGGTGCAGCAGTTTCACTGTTGGTGCCAGTGTAGGGGTAACTTGAGCAAGAAGGGTGGACAACCATTTTAGATCCCATGGTGGGCAATCCAGAGGGAACCATGCTGAAGAAAACTGGGAGATACTGAAAGCATTTTCACTGAGTTTAGAGTACTTTTCAGAAGACCTTACTACTTGGGAGGACAATGCACACAAGTATGGTTTATTCATGGACATTTTCATGTGACACCAGGATTCCAGCTGAAAGCTCACTGCAGGAGAATAGTACACGGTGCTCCATGAGCCTCATTTTTGATTTCCCTACAGCATTTGGTTTCATCATTTTTTGCTGCCGTTGCCCTGTGACACTTGATGCAGTACATTTCTCATGTTATCACTGGTGCCAACACGTGGAGATAGGTGCAGTGAGTGCAGAAAAGCTCTTCCAACTAAAAAACTTAATATGTTCTGTATATATAGTGAGAAGGAATTGAGCAGTAAATTATATTTCAATCGCACACAGTGACTCAATTCAACTACATGGGCATATTGTTATAATCTACATAATTTAGACAGACAATGGATTGAGAATTGATCTTTGGTAATGAATTTTAAATATAAATTAACAATATTTTGTTAAAAAATAAAGTTTTCAGAAACATTATAAGTAATTTTGAAGGACATTATCATTTATTTGTAAACATTTGTGAGGGATCCAAGCAACACTGCTGCTGCTTTCACTATGTGTTTTGAGGAAACCATAAGCATTAGAGTTGGTTGCTTTGAAAGTAACAGTCCGCAACCCACTTTAGACTGGTACTGGCTCATAGAAAAGTTGTGGGGCTTGGATGTGATAATACAATTTAAATAACAAATGCAAGCTTTGTACTTTTCTGAACTGCATACATTGTACAAATTGTTTTCAAAATAATTAGCACTTTCTAAGATATCTTGCTGTAAGTTTGAAAGGAGGAAAGACTGGTATTTACACAATACCTTTCAGTATCACAGGATCAACTAATTAAGTCAGAGATAGTAGGAACTGCAGATGCTGGAGAATCCGAGACAACAAGGTGCAGGGCTGGATGAACACAGCAGGCCAAGCAGCATCATACGAGCA